TATCATTAACTTGCGAAAGTTTTAAATAAGTACGCATTGATTCCTCATCAAAAAATATGAAAAAAGCTTTTATAAACATGGGTATGGAAATGCATACATTTTAGAGTTACAGGATGTTAAAACTTTTTAAAATTATTTTTTTTCTAATTATCTTAATACGATTATTTTTTTATTTGAAATTGCTGTAGGTTGGACTAGCAGTAATATTAACTAATACTAATAATATTTAATAATAAATTATGTAGAATATATCATTTATTAATTTTATTCATTATAATTATTAAAATTGCGTTTATCACATCAAGGAGGCCGAATTCGACAAAATATCAAGAGATAACTTTTAATTGGCATTAAACGGTCTACACAATTTTGATATCAAAAGAAAAAAAGTCAGTAACACATCTTTTTATTTTAATATTCCAGTGATAACCCATATGCACGTCCCTGAAGAATTTATCGACACTTTTTTAGTATTAAAATATGTATTACTTATAACTTTTACCCTCAAAATTTTATTCGAATCACTATAAGTACTCGGAAGTAAATTATAATAAATCGAAAGATTATTAATACTTTTAACACCCTGTAGTTACGAAACAAATCAGAATCGGACCTATGATGATATGAAAAATAAATTTTATTTTTACGTGAGGAATCTCCTCACGAGAGATGGCACATGTTTTTGAAACACCCTGTATATTGATAAAAAATAGTCGACCATTACATGTGGGATAGTATTTCCGAAGTCAATTTGAAGGAATGAGACTCTTAATTCTTTAGTCCCAACGAAGCCGACAAAAACACCGAAAACAGAGTCCCGATCTGTGCAACTGACTTCAGATAAACTATACTTTCAAATGGGTCCTCTCAAATATCTAGGGACAAAGGATTTTATTTTATTTTTTAATCTCGACACTTGGTGATAATTTTCCGATAGGGAATTTACGCGCAAATAATTTTCTCGCTGCTCTTTTTCGCGTGCTCATCTGACGACGGCTCAACATTTCACGCCGCTCCTGTCTGCCGGAGGAATTTCATTAGATAGGTAATTTCGAGAGTCGAAGCCGTAATTACCGGAAAAAATCATACTCTAAATTCTCCGGAGCAATAATGGCGAAAAACGACGTCGCCTACTCTAAAGTCGCGATTAGGGATGGGATGTCTGCCAACAGATGTCGCCACACACCTTGACAATATCAAAACCCTATGACATCTAGTTTGTAGATGTTGTCGTTGATTATCTCCTTGGTTATTAACTGTCAAAAATTATCTACTTTTGTGAAGACCCATAGATAAATGAAAAAAGTTTAGATTGGAAAGTGCCCATAAGGACAATGTAAACCTTTGAATAAGAAGACTAAGGAAGGAGCATATCAAAAATCTTAGGTACACCGCGATGGGCCTCAAATATGGCCGACTTAAATTCCGGTTTATCAGTGTCGTTCTAATTTTATTTAAAAAATGTAAAACTATGATGTAGGGTAGACGTGGGGTAGACTCAATAATTTGTTGTTTTATTTTACGTTGTGAATAAATGTTGGTAGTTATTAAAATTGTTATAAAAATATATAATTCTAATAAAAATAAATAAGTTATAATAAGTATTTATTAACACAAACATCCGATACGCTACTGAAGCAGGTAAGTCAAATTAACGTATCTAAATTCTTTGACATCTAATCTTTGACAAGTAATAAATAAAAGCTAAAATGCAAGAAAAATATATAATTTAGTTAATTTAAGTGAATTTCATAAATGATCAGTTTACTACACGTATGTATATTATATAGTCACTTACTAGCGAAAAGTTGTTCCATTATTTCACTCAATTTTTGCCGAGATCTACCGCACGCTACACAACCAACTATTTTAGAGTTTTTTTCGATAAATCGCGATAGTGTCACTGTTAATTTAAGTTCTGCCACAATTTCCATCTAGATTTACTACCTTTGTACAACTATCAGTAGTAGAATAAATAATAAATAACATAAAATAAGCTCCGTAAAGACTGACAAATCCACAAAATTTCAAATCAAATTCAAATGTGTCAAATGAATCGTCAAACAGAACTGTCAAGGATCCCCACCCTAGAGAGCTTTTATGGTGGCTTTTCCGCCCACCATGCATGAATACATGGATAGCATTATGCTCCTTCCTTAGTCTTCTTATTCAAAGGCAGGGACAGATCGCGTACAACGGTCGCGACCCAAAAAAAAAATATATATTTTGACGGGTTTTCCAATCTAAATTTATTTCCTTTATCCATGGACAGGATAATATAATCCTTTATCCATGGAAGACCTTACTATTTTGAAGAACATGGACTAAATACTGATTATATATTCAAACAGTTCGCTTGATTCTAAAAACAAGTTTATCTCATATTTGTATTTTTTTGCATTTGAAATTCTAGTTTTCCTCGTTTGAACGCCTTTTCAACAAAGTACATATAGCGCTTATTTAGTTTGAAAAAGAATATTTTTGTCACAGCTTGAAAAATGCTCGCAAAAATTCGTCTGTATGTAGCGTAAACCGTAAATAAAGAACTATTCATTTCGTCGATCCGTAATTTTCGCTCCTCTCAGCTCGAGCCCTGGTAACAAGGGAGCTGGGAGAACCAGGCAACAGGTGCTTGGTCTGGGGGTGGCATTACCGCCTAGTTTTGGTGTGGGGTAAGGTAATAGGGATGGACATAAATATCGATGTTAAAATATCGATTTTTATTAAAGTCTAGCGATAATTTTACAAAATCATAAATAAAATGAAATGGCAATTGTTTAGTAAACGGTTCTTCCCTTAGTTTTAAAAAATACTTATTAATTTTTTTTTTAGTTTTTTTGCTCTTGTTTTCAAAGGTAAATTCATATTGTTCATAAATAATAAAAAGTGCATGGGCAACGAATTTCAATACAACAAAATGTAAGAAAGTCATAAAATTCATGTAATAAGTAGGTACATTAACTTTATGTATGTCAAAAGATGTCCATTTACATTATAGCAACCAAAATTTAAAACAAAAACGGTATAAAATTGTAATGACAACAAAAAAAGTAAGGCCGCAAAATTCCATTTTTGGTACACCCCAATAAAATTGTCACAAACATGTAGGTACATATAATATTAGATTTATTATTATAAGAAAGTACGGTTTGTCGAAAATAGATGTTCGTAATTTTATAAATTATAGGCGGTTTATAGAACTTAAATTTAATTTTTAACGTTCAATAGCCTTTCTTAAAAGTAAAACAGAAATTGTTATTAACTTATTGGTAATTAGTACGTACCATGTAGGTACCTTTTTCCTACAAGTCATTTAATAAATAAATATATAATTTAAAAAACAAACCTGGAAGTAAATATAATTTAGAAATCTGCTATTTTTTATGTCAAAAGGATATAATAATATACCTAACCCTACTTATTTTTATTTACCGGTGAAAAGTTAAATTTTGATTTAATTTAAATGATACACTCTCTTGTACAGGGTGGGTCAAATTCGACGCTTTTAAATGGAAACACCCTTTTCTATAGAAGATAGACGAAAACTAATATCGGTGTCTGGAGCTCAATTTTCATCAAAAACATGATGGTGAAAACCGCACATCAATATCTGTTACCGTTTCGGAGTTACGGGGTGTTTTTCAAAAATGTGCATTTTTAACAAATCGCTGTAACTTTTTTGCTATGGAAAATTTAGTATTTCTATGAAAACATTTCCAAAGCACCTTTTTACGTAGGATTTAATGGTTTAAGTGTAATTTTTTTAAAACTAATAATTTAAGAGTTACCTCCACTTAAGACACCCTCTATATTTTTAATTAACTGAACATAATTTAAAATTACCTTTCCAAAAATATAGCACACTTGATATTTTGTTGTAATCCCCTTCGAAATACAGAATATTTAAAAGTTCGCCACTTTTAACTAGTAGGCTTTGGACCCCTTATTGATGATATGCCTTTAATGGAACTCGAAAACATATTTTTCCAGCAAGACGACGCACCGCCTCAGAACGTTGAAGTTTTCAGCAAATTTTTGCAGCCAATTTCAAGAATAATTGAATAGCTAACCAAGATCCCAGCCGTTGGCCGTCGAGGCCGCCTGACTTAGTGCCCATGGATCTAATCCTATGGATATATTTGCGGAAGAATAAAGGTTCCTTATTCTTCCGTATAATCTAGACAAGAATTAGAAATACTTAGCAGTTGTGAGAGGGTATCTTTCACCCCCACTGAGTTAATGAATTCCGCGAGAAATGTTCAAAAACGTCTTGCCATAACAGAAGACGGTCGATATGTCGAACACCTGTAGTAGCAAAATCTCATGTTTTGCTAAAATCTCGTGTCTAGTTTAAATGTGTTAATGTTGGTTAAACATATTTTATATTGTTATAAAATTCTGCATCTCTCATAGCAAATATTATTTTCGTTTACACCCTGTACACAATACACGAATGCACCATATTTTCAAATAATGTCCGCCGAAGTCCACAAAATAACTCAAAAATACTATAATACTGCAAATAAAGAGTACAGAGCTTGAACGGCGGAAGAGCAACTTCGCAACAGTAGAATCTAGGAAACAGTAGAATCTAATCATTCATCCTCGAAATCCGTTGTACTACGCCGGCATATTTCTAAAAGTGACGTTGCCAAACTGCTTTTTATTATTAAAAGAAACACGACCGTGATAAAATTAAAAATAGTTAAGCAGTTAGGTATTAAATGAAAAAATTGACGTTAGCAACTTAATGTACTTGATATATTATAGAAATATAACGAAATTATTTATTACTTTATAATTGGTTGTGATATTTAATCGAATATTAGTGCCAATATACAGGTAAATCTGGCAAATATTTTCGGTGTAAGAGAGATGGGAAAATAAGGATAGAATAATGTCCGATGAAGGAAAAAGGTAAACAATTGTATCTCTTGAGTTTAAATATCTTTGATTTGACCATTATACTTTGACTAATGAAGATTTCGTTGATTTTCCAGTGCCAGTTTCCAGTTCTGGTGGCGGCGGTGGCGACCAGCGACGACACGCTCCCCTCTACGGGCGTCTGGTGGCCGACGACCCTTTGGGCGGGGGTTCCATGCCGAGCGCGCTCACCACCAGCGCACCATCCACCACCGACATCCACGCGATGCAAGCGCGCATCCCGCTCACCTTCAGAGACCCATCCACCGCGCCGCTGAGGAAGCTTAGCGTGGACCTCATCAAGACCTACAAGCACATCAACGAGGTGAGTAGGTTAGAATTTAAAGCGAACACCATAGAGAAATATAAAATAAAAGAGTTGACAACGCCCTCTAGCGTCTACGTTCAAACGGTTATTATTATTGTTTATATGGTAAAATATAGAGTAAGAAACGCTCTTTTAAACGAGCCCTCGCTTGTTGGATTCCGATTATTCAGTCCGGAGTTATTAATATTTAAATAAAAACATATCTAATCTCCCCCCCCCACCTCTTTATTTTGGTAGATAGGGGAAAATTGCTCTAAAAAAATATTCAAAATTTACTGAAGATTATGAATCTTTTACTTATAGTACACCTTATCTAGGTAAAATTGTGTAAAAACTCCATTTTCTTATTTTTTGTTGCAGTTGCGCCCCCTAGCGGTCGTTCTACAAACTTAAAAATAGTTTCCAGCAATTTCTCATAGCCTCTTTAGTCATAAATATTTTTTTTCCGCAGGCTCTACGGCTAAAGCTTGATTTTCGTGCATCCGTTGTCCGACAGTACGATGATACGATATTAATTTTATTTGTTGAATTTGAAGACTTCGATTGGTTAACGAATTGAAGTCTTTAAAGTCAACCAATAAAATTAATATCGGACCATCGTATCAACGGATAACGGGCGCATGAAAATCAAGCTTAATACTTTCCGAGATACAGCCGAGAGCTATTCTTAGTGGGACACCCTGTACACTTTTCAAATGCTTACAGTTAAATGCTAAATTAAATTTGATAATATAAAACATATACAGGCCCGGCAATGGATCTCTAGGCATAGGAATTACATGCATTTGAATGAAACGCCTATAAAAAGTCTATGCTTAAACAGAGATGGACAACAACTTCCCCGTTTCCACTTCCACTACGACTGTCTACTTAGACAAACTCCAATAAGATAACAAATTTTGGAAATTCCGCCACCTCCCATCCACTCATGATACCCATCTCCCTGCCCTTTATTTATCGCCATTATTTTATTTCCCTTCCCGCGCCTCCGCAACTCGCTATTCCGACTACCGTCAGTTCATCACAGAGTTGCCAGGTCTACCGGTTTCGTCTGTAAGCTACCGATCTACCGATTTAAAGAAAAATCTAACGATATATTCAACTGCGTCTTTAGTTTTTACAATAGAAGCACTTTTAAAAAGCTGACTTATTTGACTAAAAATTAAGCGACTGCCGCGTTGGAATCTGTATAATCTGACTTTATTATTGTTTCATTAAATTTTATTGAGTAATAACACACATACAGGTCATCGTTCTGTCTAGTTGCAGAGTTACAGAGATATTCCTAAAAATCCTTATTACTCCTTATTAGGCGCGGTATTGGCGACATGCCCGAAGAAGTTGATATCTTTTGAAAAAGATTTTATTTCATTCATCTACTAAAGTTGAACCCATATTTTTCCCCAAAAATGTAAACAAAAAACAAAATTTAAGTTAAGAAACAACCTAAATTCGGACAAATATTTTAGTGATTTTCCCGTAAAAAAATATATTAATATGAAAAAAGAGTTGAGAGTTGCTACAGCTTTCCCATTGAAATGAAATTAATTTTAGATATCACTGATCAAAATTTGTACAAAGGTAAAAAGTGACTGCTACACTAATTTGTGACTGCTATCCCTACTTGTTATAGTTTTATATGTTTTTATTAATATATTAATATTATTTAATTCAATATTTTTTTTAATATCAAATAATATACCTAGCTATTTCTAATTCTTGTTATATTTATTATATTTGTATTTTATTTGAGTGATCTATTATTACGACACATAGGAATGCTAATTTTGGACTTAAATATTATATTTTATTTCGTTTCTGTACTTTTAATTTTTGTTGAAGATCTACCGAGAATTTTGTTCTCGTATGGAATTATAATCTAACCAACCCGGCAACCCTGTTCGGCTACTCCTTATAAAGTTTTTTTCGGCCTAATTCCTTTGTCACAGCCGCGGCTTTGTCAAGCGCCGCCGCCGACCGACTGTGTCGGGGCGACTGCTAGGAAGATCGTACAGTATTGCCATTTCATAGAATTGCACTTGCTATTTTAGAAATGATTTCAAAGTTTTGCATGTTACTTTTCGTTTTAGAAAGAAGTTATGTGCCTAGAGAAAACATTCTTAAAATTGTTTCGTACTTTATTTAATATTTCATTAAGTAGGCAAGATAATGGGATTAGAAGATTTAGGATTTTGACAAGCCAACATAATTTCGATTTAATTGAATGGCAACACTGTCCGTCCTGTTTCTATTTTTTCGATTCTGTTCTATTAGTAGGCGGTAGCCCCCCACACAAGCGTCTTAAAGACCCGCCCGGCGCCCCCTCTCGCAGGGGCTCTCTCGTCGTATCACTTCTATGATCACTTCCCCTATACGATGGTAGGGAAAAGACACTTTATCCGTCTCTGTTGCACTGCAGTGTATTTTGCAGCCTTACCATCTTTTTTTATCGCATTGAAAACCTCCTATTGCTAATATTCCTTTGCCAGCAGTGTATGTATGCTGAATTAACCTCGAGTGGTAAACCGCTGATGAATTTATATACACTAATGCCAAAGTAATGCCAAATAATTTAGTACTAAGACCAATAATACCACGAAAATGCCATTATTTGAGCGATTTTCTAACAAACGAAAATAACTATTTTTTCCATCTGTTTGATATCCATCGGCATTAGCATTAGATTGGAAAATGCCCTTAAGGACAATGTAAATACTATTTGGCGCTATTACAATTCTGAGCAGTTCGGTTTTTTTCCGGAATTATGTCGCCAGATATAATTTATTCAAGTTTATTATTATTTTATTTTAATTTTTTAAATAAAACACATTATGTTGCATATATAAGAAACTATTTTATATAAGGACATATATGAAATACCTTGGAAACCGACGTTATGCCACGATTTGGCCACGATCCACCATGGTTTTTGCAGTTCACATGGTTCACAGTTCATACAGCTTTTTAAACTTTTAATGCCACTTTTTCACAATTATTACGGGTTTGAGTAAATAAAATTTAAATTAAAAACTCACAAGATAGCGATAATTACTTTGAAAATGGACGCTTTAAACACTTTCAGCATTTTCGGTTTAAATTTTGAAAGATTTTATAATTTTTAAAGCTTAATTAATTTTTAAAGCTATTAATTTAAAAAGCTAATATTTATTGCTATATTGTGAGTTTAATTTAAATTTTACCTACTCAAACCCGTAATAATTGCGAAAAAGTGACATTAAAAACAAAAAAAACTGTGTTGTGAACTGTGAACTGCAAAAACCATCCTGGATCGTGGCATAACGTCGGTTTCTAATGTTTCATGGGTATTTCACATACATGTCCTTATATAAAAGAAAGTTTCGTGTATGCAGCACACTGTATTTTCTTTATAAAATTGAAAGAAAATAATAATAGATTTGTATAAATAATATTTGGCGACATAATTCCGGAAAAAGCCGAACCGATCTGAAATTATCAAAAGCTTTGGGTCGCGACCGTTGTAAGAATAGCGCCAAACAGTTTACAGCAGGGGGGTGACAGTGAAATAGGAAAATTGGAAACAGTCATTAGTGTCATTCCTGTCATTCTCCTGACGACAAGTATGGCCGCCTAGACAAGGACAGCAATGTTTCTGTCTAACTATTGCCTAACTTCACAGTTTAGAATTGACAGATTTCAGTTTCAGAGACAACTTCAGATTTGTTCTAGAACAAATTAGAAAATATTCGACGCCATTTTAATTCATTCCGTTTAGTTTCGTTTTGGAAGTTCAATTTAATATTTAAGGTGAAATTTATAAATATAAAGGTAATAAAGTATATAAAATTACATGAAGAATCCTGGAGAAAATGACGTTTCTGCAGTAGTAGGTATGTCCTATGTATATGAAAAATAGGTAGTAAATAAACACTGTTTTTACATTTTTAGATGCAAAAAAATGGTGTTATAATCTCTTTGATCGGCGATTTTTTTGAAAATGGAAACAATTTACAGCAAGGTAAGATCATTTTTAACTATAGCCAATATTAGTTATCTCCAGTATGTGCGATTTATTGTCAGTAATGCAATAAATCGGACTGATAATCTGATTATGTTATCCGACTAAAAGTCTCTTTTTGTTTCTTTTTGATTTATAAGCCAGGTCTCTTTGGGAATAATGGACGCTTTTTTAAACAGTATATTTATATTTTATACCTATTGATAATTTATTATATATTATTTTACATTGTTAATTTTAGTATAAAAAAAAATGTTTTTCTGTTTTCAGGTTTTTGTATAAGGCTCCCGTTTTCATGTTCCTGCCCCAGTTTTCTGTCCCTGATAGCTGTGAATACGTGTATTTATTTACAAATTACTGTAAGTCATGCTTATACCTTACTAATTTACGTTAAAATTGCATATAATTAAGTAATTGCTGTAGAAATCATTCAATTCTTTATTTTTTATATTTATTTAGTCCCGTTGTCTCATATTTCAAAGAAATATGTTTGAATAAAATTTTGTTTTGTTTTATTTATGATAAGAAAGAGTACAAAATACATTTAAACTGAAAGAGGGCCCGCCATTGAATAACCGGAAACGGAAATAAAAATGAAGCCATCATGTCAACCTGTCAATTGGAAAATTAGTTCTCCAGACGACAACGAAGGCTTTCGGTGGCGTATCGTGTTTCCACGATTTAACACAGAGTTGACACTTCTTTCTAGTTAATTATTTTATGGTTTACAGTGTCGTGATGGGCACTTTCCAATCTAAACTTGTTTCATATATCTATGCTAAATGTAACGTACCTATTGCAATGTCAAAAAAAAACGTCTGTAGGTGGATTACTTTGTATTTCTTATAGTTACAATTATACTAGTAATCCAATTAAAGTAGTATTTTGTTACCTAAGTATTCTGAAGTATCTCATTAACGGCCATAATAAGTAGTCGTTTTATAATATTTCCTAGCAACCTTACACTTTTGTCTTTCGTACAAAAGACGAGAAACAACGTCTGTAGAAAACTGGGGAGCCAATTATATAAATCTCGGTGTTCTTACGCCACAGTAAACCGAAGAATAGAATGTATATCTTATAGAGTAGACAGAGACTATGTGCACTTCGTTTTCATCAAAGACTAGAGAATGGTACCTATTTTAATGCTTTTGTCTAAATTTTCATGGAGATACAATGAAACGGTATACATATTATGTATCCTCATCGTTTTCCTTTTTTAGGTACCTAAAAATAGAGTGTCTGATATCTAATGAAAATATTTTGTTTGAACTGTTTCTGTAATTTTTAGATGCGGCACAAACTTTGTTGCGGTTATGATTGTCGTAAAAATGAGAGTTACAGCAAGTATTTTAAATTAGGTACTTACTTTGAATAAGAAGACTAAAGCTTGATTTTCATGCATCCGTTGTCCGACGATACGATGATACGATATTGATTTTATTGGTTGAATTTAAAGACTTCGATTGGATAACCGTTTCTAACCAATTAAAGTCTTTAAAGTCAGCCAATAAAATTAATATCGGACCATTCTATCAACGGATAACGGACGCATGAAAATCAAGCTTAAGGAAAGAGCATATCAAAAATCTTAGGTACACCGCGATGGGCCTCAAATATGGCCGACTTAAATTCCGGTTTATCAGTGTCGTTCTAATTTTATTTAAAAAATGTAAAACTATGATGTAGGGTAGACGTGGGGCAAACTCAATAATTTGTTGTTTTATTTTACGTTGTGAATAAATGTTGGTAGTTATTAAAATTGTTATAAAAATATATAATTCTAATAAAAATAGATAAGTTATAATAAGTATTTATTAACACAAACATCCGATACGCTACTGAAGCAGGTAAGTCAAATTAACGTATCTAAATTCGTTGACATCTAATCTTTGACAAGTAATAAATAAAAGCTAAAATGCAAGAAAAATATATAATTTAGTTAATTTAAGTGAATTTCATAAATCATTGGTTTACTACACGTATGTATATTATATAGTCACTTACTAGCGAAAAGTTGTTCCATTATTTCACTCGATTTTTGCCGAGATCTACCGCACGCTACACAACCAACTATTTTAGAGTCTTTTTCGATAAATCGCGATAGTGTCACTGTTAATTTGGGTTCTGCCACAATTTCCATCTAGATTTACTACCTTTATACAACTATCAGTAGTAGAATAAATAATAAATATCATAAAATAAACTCCGTAAAGACTGACAAACCCACAAAATTTCAAATCAAATTCAAATGTGTCAAATGAATCGTCAAACAGAACTGTCAAGGATCCCCACTCTTGAGTGCTTTTTCCGCCCACCACGCATGATTACATGGATAGCATTATGCTCCTTACTTAGTCTTCTTATTCAAAGGGTACTTACGATAGATCCATACAATGGAGTGTAGAGATGAGGAGAAATATCTCTTATGGGACTGTATTTGAAAAACTGGTAAGAAATGGGAAGAATAAGGGTTCACCAAATAACCACAGTGGCGCTAATGACGCATAAATCCAAAAAATGAAAAGTAACCATAGATAAGAGAATAAAAGTAACATAACCAAATATTACCCAAAAAGCTTTGTTTTTATTTATTAGAATATAAAACAATTATTGTTATATATTAGAGGCCCAGTCTATTGCTGCTGAATAAAAATCGATAATTTATTTCATGTGACATGAAAATAAAATTTGTTTTTTTTAAACCCGCGCCTTCACGTCAAATAAATATTTATCTCTTTTTAATGATTTCCTGTTCTAAAACTTTTCAGCGCATATTTTAAATTTTGGGTTTTTGCTACAGCAGCGCCATCTTAAGTCTTCCCTTTTTTATCACAATTTTTTAATACACGAAGATATTTTTCCTTACTTCTACACTCCATAATCCATACCTATCCATATGTCGATATTTACTCTTCAAATATGCGCACATAGTGACACTTATAAAACACAACTTATAAAACAATTTATAGCCGACCATACCAACAGGTATGGTAGGCTATTAAGATCGGCAAAAAAAAGTTTTTTTAATTTCACTCATAATGAGTTATTTGGGTCATAAATGACCTAAATACAAAACATTTTCATGATGTGTGTCTGTAACACGATAACTCAAAAAACCGCTATACCGATTTTAACCAAATTTGGCACAAAAATACTGTGGCACCCGAGAATCTGGCCATTAGTTTTTGGTGCGGGTGGGGGGTTATTAAGGGGGTATGGGAGAGGGTTAAAAATTTTAAAAAATCCTAAATTACAGTAGCTAGCGAAACGCGGTTTTCAATTTAAGATTAGGAATAATATTTGCAACAAAATTTGTAATAAAATCAAAATCAAAGTCGCAGTTTTTGAGATAAAAAAAATTGGAAAAATTCCTTAACTTTGAAACTAAAAGAACTGCCTACCAACTTTTTATTAACATATTTTAGTATGGGCGGCTCTACGTGCCTCCCAGCGCCAATTTTTTTTTCTTTGTTCCATTTTTTCTATCTCAGAATATATACGATTTTTTACCGTGTTGTACTTTACCATGTGTTTTTGTGTTCGTCCTAAAAAAAACTGTTCGTCCTTTTTTAGGTGTACTACGCAAAAAAGAAACGAAGGGCGGCTCAGATCCAGGGCGACGACAGTTCGCACAAGAAGGAGCGGAAGATTTATAATGATGGATATGACGATGACAACCATGACTACATCATTAAGAACGGTGAAAAGTTCCTCGACAGGTAGGTCATAAATATGTCGTTTTTTGTGTCAAAGAAAAATGGGTTTCCAATACTTACAAGGTAAACTTAAACAGTTTTCGTCAATGCCAACACCGTTTTGTCGTTGAAACCGTTTTTTAATGGAGACTAAAGTGTTTTAAAAGAGTCAGCGATGATTTTGACGGACTACATTCATAAAAAAAAACACACTGGCTAAACCATGGCTGGCAGTATTGTTAGTGTATACAAACAAATAATATTTAATATTATTCTAGTAATACATCAAAAATTGCAAAATAAAATATGGAAATATTTACCTAAATTAATAATTTTAGTTACATAAAAATTTTCAAAATAAACATTTGTTAGACACTGTGTTCGATGTTGGCATGGAGTATAAATACAGGGTGGTCCGAACTGTATTCTGGAAACTTCGGCAGCATATTCTGCAGATAAAAATAAGTAAAAAAGTTCATATAAATATATGTCCTAAAATGCTTAGTTTTGGAGATACAGGGTGTAGAAGTTTCATTTTTATTTCGATTTTTTCCAAATAATTTATGAAGTAAAGTCAATATTTGGATGAAAATTGGTGTCTGGGAGTTTTTTGACATGAGAAATTTAACTTTGGTGTCAATATGGCTCCTACTTGTAGGAGGCGTCACCTACATGTGTTTTAACTGTTTTGAAGGGTAATAACTTTTCGTCCGTACCTGTGTAAAAGTACTGAGTAAGAAAATATACATTTCCGTGACTTTCTACGTAAAAAGTGTCTCTTGGTAAAAATCGCTACGAACCACCGCTCTCAAGATATTTAGAATGGAAGTAGTCAATACTTGTCATTATTGACAAAAAATAAACACGTTGAGTAGATAGTTATTAGACTGAAATAATAAATTGGGAAATTTTATTTTTTTTAAATTAATCATAAGAATTAATCATGCAGAATTTTTCTATGAAAAAATGACGATAAAACAGTTTCTGTTGAATTTTTGGTACAAAAACATTTCAAATTTATTATTTCAGTCTAGTAACTATTTAGTCAACACATTTATGTCAATGATGACACGTATTGATAATTTCGATTCTAAATATCTCGAGAACCATTACTCGGAGCGATTTTTACCAAGAGACATTTTTTACGTAAAGTCACGAAAATGTATATTTTTTTCACTCAGTAGTTTTATACAGGGACGGACCAAAAGTTATTACTCTTCAACCCAGTTAAAAAATATGTAGGTGGCGCCCTCTACAAGGAGGAGTGATATTGACATCAAAATCAAATTTCTCATGTCAAAAAACTCCCAGACACCAATTTTCGTCCATATAGTGACGTTACTTCAGATATTATTTGGAGAACATCGAAATAAAAATGACTAACTTCTACACCCTGTATCTCCGAAACTATGCATTTTTGGACATACATTTATATGAACTTTTTTACTTGTTTTTATCTGCAGAATATGCTTCCGAAGTTTCCGGAGTACAGTTCGGACCACCTTGTATACATTATATTATTATATTTCATTATACTGTTAAGGTGAAATTGAAAATATATAAATATTGTATTATTAAATTTTGGATTGTTTTAAGTAGATTTACTGATTTTCCCCCTGCTTTTAGATACGAAATCGACTCCCTCATTGGTAAAGGGTCTTTCGGACAGGTAGTGAAGGCCTACGACCACGCCGAGCAGTCTTACGTGGCTGTGAAAATCATTAAGAATAAAAAGCCCTTCCTCAATCAGGCCCAGATCGAGGTCAAACTTTTAGAAATGATGAACAAGGCTGATGCAGAGAACAAGTATTATATAGGTAAGGATAAAACAGACAAAATATTATTTCACACTATCTTAATGAAAATAATATCAAATTATTAAGAAATTATTAAGAAATCGGTCATCAGAAAAGACATTTTTTAAACAGAATTTAAAATCTACAACAGCAAAATTACCAAAAAAAAATTCACCACCAATATACCAAGACATTACTTTTAGTATTTGCATGTTTAGTATTTTATTTGTCATGCAATTTTTTTCTTTTTCAGTTAAATTAAAAAGACATTTTATGTGGCGGAACCACCTGTGTTTAGTATTTGAACTGTTATCCTACAACCTGTATGACTTGCTGAGGAACACGAACTTCCGGGGCGTGTCTTTGAACCTGACCAGGAAGTTCGCGCAGCAGCTGTGCACGGCGCTGCTGTTCCTGTCGACGCCGGAACTCAGCATCATCCATTGCGATCTGAAACCCGAGAATATACTGTTGTGCAACCCGAAGAGGTCGGCGATAAAGATCGTCGATTTCGGCAGCTCGTGCCAATTGGGCCAAAGGGTAAGTAATAGTGAATTAATTGGCAACGATTGTAGATAAGTAAAAAAAATCGCTAAACATGTAAATTATTGAGTGTACCCTAGAACATGTATACTTATGTAGATACGTAAATCACTATGGAAACTGTCGCAAACATATCAACGACTTACATTTATCTTCTTTCTTTGTTTCACACGCGGTGCTTCTACTCTATCTTTATCGAGGATCTATCGTCCACGCGCCAAATTTGAATATTAATTTTAAAAATTTAATTTGTAAAATGCATATTAGGGTGTCAGTTATTTCCCAAGTTGATATTTTTTTGGGAGGTTCTGGTTCTGATTCTGGTTCCCTCTGAAGTTTTAGTTTTTGATCTAAAAAAAATTATCCAACGTAAACAAGCTGTAAATTTTTAATTTAAACCGTGCCAGAATGATGATGATACTTTTCCCATTTAAATAACATGGGGTTTTCTGACCTTTTGCATTTAATTTTTTATCTCCGAAGCAAATGAGCCTACAGCTTCGACAAATACATATTCTAATACAACATTTTACGCTCCAAAGAAAAGGTCTCTTTGGTTTTTTTCATAAAAACATTCCTTTAAAATTATTATGCACATAGTTTCAATTGACACACATATTTACAAACACTGAAAAGCAATGAAACAATAACCTTAAATTATAGTTTTGATCAATTGATCATAGATGGCGGAATATTAGTTTTCCATATTAAAGTAGGTAAAGAAATATAGTTTTATTGAAAAAGGTTTGGTTCTAGATCCTTTTTTAGTCAAAATCAAAAGGCGCAATTAAAATTTGCAGGGAATGATAGAAAAAGTTTATTATAAACTATGTGCAAACTTTGACCGCGAATAACTTTTAAAGGAATTTTTTATGGAAAAAAACAAAGAGACCTTTTTTGTGGAACGTAAAATTTTGTACTAGAATATGTCTTTGTCGAAGCTGTAGGTTCATTTGCTTTGGAAATAAAAAATTAAATGCAAAAGGTCAGAAAATCCCATGTTATTTAAATGGGAAAAGTATCATGATTCCGGCACGGTTTAAATTAAAAATTTTGAACTTTTTTACGTTGGATAATTTTTTTTAGACCAAAAACTAAAATTTCAGAGGGTGGCACCACAAAAAAATATCAACTTGGGAAATAACGGACACCCTAATGCATATATTTGAACAATAAATTGAATATTTAATGCCACAAAAAATTAAATTATATAAAAAATACATTTAACCACTCCGAACGAATATCAATATTCTTAGGAAATCTAACCAGAAAGAATGCCTACGTTTTAATATAAATAAAAGAACAACTTGACTATGAAAAGATAATTTGGGGACCTTTATATTAGAACTTTCATACACCAAACACTTTCTAGTCGTTTTTGGTTTGGTCCGACGAAAAAAGAATAGAAATATAATTGCACAAATTTAAAATTAACTTCTCGCTGAACACACTTGCATCCTTGGTTATATAAAAGCGATCGATAAAAGAGTAATTAATACAATTTTTAAAATAAAAAACGCAAAAAACAAGCGTCGTTACACAATATAAGATTATGACATATGATTATGACAATATGATTACAATGAAAAGTTGGTATCCATAACGATGTATAATTTATATGTTCTAAAGCTTCATTCAGAACCTCCCAACATAGATAAATGTAACAAGTTTAGATTGGAAAGCCCGTAAAAATTTTGGGTCGCGACCGTTATACGCGATCTGGCGCTGCTATAGCGGTCGCTACGAACAACGGCAAACAAAAACAGAAATAATTTTCCCTTGTCAAAGTCAGAATCTTCAAAAATCATAATAATCTCTCAAAATCTAAACCGCTCTCATTAAAGAAATTCCGAAAAGTGTTTATAGCGTCCATTTTCAAAGTAATTATTGCTATCTTGTGAGTTTAATTCAAGTTTTATTTACCCCAACCGGCGATAATTGTGAAAAAGTGGCATTAAAAACTTAAAAAGCTGTGCTGTGAACTGTGAACTGCAAAAACTATCGTGAATCGTGGCATAACGTCGCACATACAGGTATTTTAACATTCTAGCTGGCCAAAATTATGAAATATTATCAAATAGGGTTTATGGGTGTTTATATAAAACTTGATGCTAAATTAGGCTAATTTAAAGAAAAAGACTCCTTTATAAAGGGTTTTTGGCCGACAAAATCTAGGGGATGATGGCGTCGGATTTTGCCAAATCACATTTTGGTTCAAGTCACATATAAGCTTGACTGGTACAAAAGAACTTTGAAAGATATTACAGTCAGAATCTTCCTCGCAACTAAACTTTTGTTTAAATTGTGACTACTGGGATCCGTCACATCCCCATTTACATATCAAAACTAGATTTGTACATTCTTGTTCACTTAGCAATTCCAAAACGTCCTCAAGATAAAAGAGTAATCGTAAAACTGTATGATCCATTAGATCTTGTAATCTAATTTCAGCACAAGTTTCGGTTACCCTAAATGCACTTTTATTGGGGGAAAAATCTTTCTTGGCGCGCTGCAAAAGACTATAACAGGGATAAAGCCTTTTGTTTGTACTTCTAATAATTTCATATTGACGTCTTGATAGATCTGGAATCATTGACAACGCATTTAAGGGAGAAATCGCACTTTTTTTGCTCTTTTCCAATTATAGCGTTTTTATACTCGGTGCCTTTTGCGGGATTACTGATTAGTTCCCTTACAACAAAACATGCGTTTTTATGGCCTTCCAATCTTAGCTGCTTCTGAGTAGCATAGCCTATAATTTCTCGGCTAAATCTACTCCTCAACTCTTCGGTATTTCGCCTCTTACTCCTGTCACTCAAGTGTGAAAAGACCTTTTCTGGCCTTCCTGAAGTGGCCCTCGGCTTAGGAATTCCGAAAACTCCTTGCAACCATAAGTTATTTTTTTTTTACCAAAAATCTTTCTTCTATGTAATGAGCAGACACCCATCGCCTTTTAAATTCAAATTTTTGATGAGAAAACTTTTGTTTTATAAAAAGCTTTTCTTCACCAGAAAATGATTCAACGGATGGAAGATAATTTTCTAAATAGTTCAATTTGTCATTGAAAGTTAATTGGTAAGTTATGTCTTCTCATTAAGTTATACAGCTTCAATCGGGTAAAAAGTTTTACATTAGAACAACCTAAAGTAACAGAAAATCTATGTTTTCAACAAAGATCGGTTTAATGCATAAAAAATATTGAAAATATCTCCAGGATAAATAAAGCTGTGTTATGCTGATAGTCGTTTATCTGCTTCATCACCTTCAATTATTTCCTAGTCAATTAATACACTATACGTAGCACTAAAACCGTAAGGAATATATATGAACTTAAATTCAAATAAAAAAATCGCTAAATATACTCGACACAAAGACGAAGTTTAGGCTGATAAGGAGAAACTAAATTTATTTTAACATTAGCAAAAGTCATAAAAAAGTGATCTCTGTTCATTTGTCGAAGCCGTCTGATAATTTTTTTTGGTACATTTTATACTTTTTATAATCGACTTTTGGCCAAAGAGTGGTAAAATACCCGTCTGTGCGTCGGTTTCCAATGTTTCATAGGTATTTCATACATGCGTCCTTACATAAAATAAAGTTTCTTGTATGCAACACACTGTATTTTATTTATAAAATTAATCGAAAACAATAATAAATTTGAATAAACAATATTTGGCGATATAATTCCGGAAAAAGCCGAACCGCTCCGAAATTTTCAAAAGTTTTGGGTCGCAACCGTTGCAAGAATAGCGCCAAATAGTGTTTACATTGTCCTTATGCGCACTTTCCAATCTAAACTTGTTTCATTTATATGCCTCCCAATTAGTGCAATAAATTATTGGTTTCAATTACACTTTATACTTTTTAGTTTACGATCATTCACAATGTCTAAAAAACACAATTAAAATTAATAAAATATCCTAGCAACAACTTGCGGTAGTCTGTTGTATCCATAGAGAAAGCATAATATTTAACTTATAAAACAATAAACTTTTGATTTCTAACCAAAATTTTTCTTGACGGGTGATAATCAAAGGCCAAAATGACATTCCTCCCAAATTTTGAAGTATAATTAGTGGAAAAGTCAAAAGTTTGTTAACTTTTTCCACTAATTGAAAATTACTACCACTAATTATGACGTTCTGAATGCTTACATTAAAATTAGGTGAATAAACTTCTACGGCTAATTGAAACTACTAACTTATTCCACTGATTTCGGGGTTCTGAATGAAGCTTAAAGCTTGATTTTCATGCATCCGTTGTCCGACGATACGATGATACGATATTAATTTAATTGGTTCAATTTTAAGGTTGGTTAGAAACGGTTAACCAATCGAAGCCTTTAAATACAACCAAGGAAATTAATATCGTATCAACGTATCGTCGGACAACGGATGCATGAAAATCAAGCTTAAACCGTATAAAATTGTTATTATTTTGGAAATACGTGCAACTTTTAATGCGCATGGGCGCAAAGTAAAGTCCTGGGAAGAGACAAACCTATTGAATGTTTCATAAGTGCAATAAAGAAGGTTTGAAAATGGCATGTCATGATTTGAAGACATTGTTTTTAATCATATACGTATTACTTTTTACAAATATACTCAGGGTTCCCTATTTAACCCCGTGTGCAATTTCTGTGCCGTAAGAAAAAGACAACATAACCCAGCTCCATATTAAAACTGCATAAGTCTATTTCACCCGGATATGGATTGAACTGCGATTGCGCCAAACTCCGATTGATTGCTGTTTTAGTTCTGTTTGGATTACTTTTTATTTGTGCGCATAAAAGAGTGATTTTATTTAGTTTATTGTTTCCAACTATTTTTTGATATTTTTCCAACTCCATGATAATGTGTTATAAATAATAAAAATATAAATAAAATTGAAGGTTAGGGGAAATGTCGGTCAACCACTTCCCTTTAAAAACATCGACCAATAAAAACTTCTTCAGGTGGGGCATGCTCAGTTAAATGAATATCCGGGTGAAATAGACTTATGCAGAATTCCATATTGTTCTTTCACTGTTTGGGCTTCACTTTTTGGAGATTAGGCTGAGTATATTTGTAAAAAGTAATACGTATATGTTTTTAATGCGTATGGCGTTTATGCATCCATGTAAGTAGTGATGATCTAAGGAGTGTACTGTACTTTTTATTTTATCATCTAAAAAATCTGAAACGCCACTGTTATTTTAAAATACCTTCCCGGTTTTCCGAAGTTTTTTGATATACATACTCCTTCCTTTGATTTTTTTATTCGGTAGTTTTTGACTTTATTATTACTTTGTTTTTAGATTTACCAGTACATACAATCAAGGTTCTATCGTTCGCCAGAAGTACTTCTGGGCATCTCTTATGACCTAGCAATTGATATGTGGTCCCTAGGTTGTATTCTGGTAGAGATGCATACAGGAGAACCCCTATTTAGTGGTTCCAACGAAATTGATCAGATGAACAAGATAGTGGAAGTGTTAGGCATGCCTCCAAAACAGTTGCTGGACCAGGCGAGCAAGACCAGGAAGTTTTTCGAGAAAATCCCCGGTGATAGGAGGTAAAGAAAAATCAAAACATCTTTAAAAGTATATTAAAATTTAGTTTTTTCAAACAGAAAGATATTGATTTTGAGAAAAAAATATACTCTATTAATTCAGCTTGTAATAATATGGTATGGTATGGTAATGATGAGCTGCCTCCCTCACTGTGGCAGCTCTATGGCTCTGCTTCCTATGAAGGTGCAATTTGCCAGCTTGTAATAATAATGATTTTTCAATATGTAAATGTGGGGTTAGGTTACATGACAGGATATGGAAAAGTATCAAAAAAAAATTGTCTAAATTTGAAAAAATGTTATTAATATTCTAGATTTGTTCGAGTTTTTCCATATATATGTTACGGTTAAAGTCCGATGTCCGGTTAATATCGACATTAACACGTTAATGTTTGGGTTAGGTTATATTTTTGGTTGTTTTGTTGTGTGTTATTCTCGAGATTAACCGGGTAATGTCGACATCAAGGTTGATTCTCACTATGCCTTCCGTTTCCATTCCATATCCGTTCCGTATTTTTATTGTATTTACGCTATACGTAAGCTTCCGTTCCGTATCAGTTCCATACTTTTTATTGTACAATTTATATCATTACGAAAGTTTAATTTTAAAAATTTGTATCTTTTGAAGAAGGTAATAGATCTAATTCAGACGCGAAATAATAAATAAATATCAGCAAAGAGCTGGTACAAATGTGTGAACTTAACAACGCTGTTCCCGATACGCTTCAGTTCGTCCGGCAAAAAATGTATGGAAGGAAAGGATATGGAACGGAAGGGAAACGGAATGGATGGTGTGCATTGTCCTATTCATTTACATGATAACATATTTTATGTAAACGGAAGGGAGCTGATATGGATGGTATAGAGAGAATCAACTTTCAACCGGACATCGGACCTTAACCGTAACATATACAGGGTGAGTTTCCTACGATGTTCTCTATGGGCATCTCGGAAACTACTGGAGATAGAGAATCGGTTAAATTGGGAAAGAATTGCAGTTTTGTGGGTTCATAAATATGCGCCTTTCAGATTTTTGAAAAAGTTCATGGCTTACTAGATATTTCGAAAAAAAAAACAAATTTTGGCTATTTTAAAAATTGTCCCTAATTCCATTACAATCTATTTTAGACAATAAGTGTTCAGATAAAAGTTGTAGATAATCACATTCCTAATGAGTTTGTGTTCTCCGATTTTTCATAAAACCTGTCATTTTTGACATATGACACAAACATATGTTTTTTTAAATGGAAACCATAGTTGGTCATGACTTCATAAAAAGCGCCATTTTTTAAGCTTTTCAGCAATATAAGCTATATGTTTCATTCACAAAATTACTGAGTTATAACCAATTCTTATCTTTCTTGACTAATTTCACTTAGTTAGCCATGGAAACATGTTCAATCGTCGTTGCTCTCAGAAATGTGAAATTGTGTCACATCCAATCTTTGTAAATTAAAGTAAACAAAAATTGTAAATAAAAATTTTTCAAATGAAGAAAAGCGTGTAGGATTATTTGTTGACCGGTGAAAGTTACTTACGTTTTTTAGAGAACCGTTTTTCCATGGTGTTCAAATTTTGTTGTGATTTATAACTTATAAAAAGACAAAATATGTTATTAAACGGCTCTTTACAATTTAGATTACACAAACTAAAACTCAAAAAAATAATATCACTACGTACACTTTAAGTTATTTTAGAAAATGTTTAAAAAATCCGCAATTATTTTGAGTACATAAATGCCTCTTTTTAAAACTGAATTTCTAGCTATTGTCACAGAACGACCGGTCGGCTTAATTAAGCTTCTCCTGTTCCGCCTCTTCGAGTGCCTTTCTTAATTCATAAGTTTTTTTGTAAACCTTGTTGTTAACCATACCGCATAAAAAAATCTAAAATGGATAGGTCAGGTGACCGAGGAGACCCATGCAATTGGTACACCTCCCTGAGTCTACATAATTATGATATAAATAATTTTTTAAATAACATTTCTTTCATTGTGGGGGTGTTGGTGCGTCATAATGAAAGTCATGTTGGAACCACTGTATTAATGCGCGAGTATCTAAATTTAACTTTTCTAACATGTCTTGAAAACCGTTTTCTAAAAAACGTAACGTTCACCGGTCAACGTATCCTCGAAACTGTATGGCCAAGAAAAGTTGGACCAATAATTCTACACGCTGTTCTTCATTTAAAAAACTCTTATTTACAATTTTTGTTTATGTTAATTTACAAAGATTGGATGTGACAATTTCACATTTCTGAGAGCAACGACGATTAAACTTGTTTCCATGGCTAACTAAGTGAAATTAGTCAAGAAAGAAAGAATGGGTTATAACTCAGTAATTTTGTGAAAGAACATAGTATAGCTTATATCGTTGAAAAGCTTAAAAAACGGCGCTTTATGAAGTCATGGCCAACTAAGGTTTCCATTTAAAAAAACATATGTTTGTGTCATATGTCAAAAATGACAGGCTTTAGAAAAAATCGGAGAACACAATCTCATTAGGGATGTGATTATCTACAACTTTTATCTGAAAACTTTTTGTCTAAAATAGATTATAATGGAATTAGGGACAATTTTTAAAATAGCCAAAATTTGTTTTTTTCGAAATATCTAGTAAACCATGAACTTTTTCGAAAATCTGAAAAGCGCATATTTATGACCCCACAAAACTGCAATTCTTTCCCCATTTAACTGACTCTCTATCTCCAGTAGTTTCCGAGATACCCATAGAGAACATCGTAGGAAACTCACCTTGTATATTAACTAAAGTATATCGACTCCAAACTGCATTCTGTGAAGCCAAGCCGGTGAAATAGGTATATAAATCTTCTGAAGGAATTTGCATAAGTCGCTCAGTTAGCTGTGCTCAAGCGTAGTGCGCAAGCCTGGATTTTGAATTATCGATTGGATAACCGGACCAATAAGAGACTAGACGCTAGCACCAGATGTTCATACGTACGGCTCCGTCCAACTTCGTACGGCTTTTGTTTGCGTTCCCGTTCGACAATTGGGTAATCCTCAGAGTAAGGGCTAATCGATATTCGGAATTTTGGAATTGCGCTGTTGCGCCAGTATCTGCCTAACAGACGAACTTATGTGAAATATACATGGACCGGTTATCTATTTGTCTCTAACTCGGCTTCAACTCCAACACATTGCAGGGATAGGCGATAATCTGTATAGATTTGATATGTATGAGTTTTTCTTACACTTTGAACGATTGCAGGTACATACTGAAAAAGACTAAAGACGGCAAGAAGTACAAAGCGCCTGGCTCAAGGAGGCTTCACGACATCCTGGGAGTAGAAAATGGCGGACCTGGCAGTAGGAGATCTGGCGAACCTGGCCATTCCATGTCGGACTATCTTAAATTTAAAGTAAATATTGTTGCAGATTTCGTATGTTCTTATATTTAAACATAATATATATATATACATTTATAACCCTGGTCACTATGCAGTAGTCTCATTTTTAATTTTATTCTAGGACCTAATTCTACGTATGCTCGACTATGACCCCAAGACGCGCATAACGCCGTACTACGCGTTGCAGCACAGTTTCTTCAAACGCACTTCGGATGAAAGCACGAATACGGCAGCTGCGGCCGCCGCTGCAGCAGCCGCAGCCGCGAGTTCCAGCGCCAGCAGTAGCCCGGCTGTGGCGTCACTGGACATGACGAACAGTCAGCAGGGTAAGGAAAAATATCTGTCAACCAAGCTAAAAACATAAAATTGTACACATTCGTATCACATTAAATAATTAATACCGCATGATAGAAAGCAAATCTGCGCCAAGAGCTTAACAGCAGTGGCGTGCATATAATGTAGGCAAAAAGGTGTTGCCTACACCAGGCAATATCATAAAATCTTTCCTTTTTTGTATATCCATATTGTAACTTATTACTAATCCAACAAATATTCGCATGAATCATTTTTAGGGTTCCGTACCCAAAGGGTAAAAACGAGAATCCTATTACTAAGACTTCGCTGTCCGTTCGTCCGTCCGCCTGTCACAACGGTCTATCTTATGAACCGTTATCACGGCAGGCCAACTCTGCCCAGATCCCATTGTTTAAAATTTCTATAAAATTTGACCTTAAAAACACCATTATGGGTGCCGAGTCAGGGCCGGATTAAAACGTATCAAAACATTTCCCAGAAAATAAACTATTGATAGACAGGGTCGTATTAAAAAAATACTGTAATTGACTGAAACTGAATTTTATTTACACAATACTTTTATCTAAACAAATGAATCGTTAACCGCGCATACTCCTCGAAAAGCTAAAATGAAAAAATCAATTAAACTTTTATATGTAGAGAATAGACCAATTAAAATTAAAAAACATGCCAGGAGTTACCAACAAGAATTAAAGAAATACCCAATAAAATATCTATTGAACAATCTAAAGAGGCTACCTACAAATTATGTCCATCAATGGACGCAGCAAATTTTGTTAATATTCAAATTGCACAAATTAACAAATCAGCTAAAGGAAGAAAAGTAACTGATGAATTTAAATATAAATGTTTGGCTATATACTTTTCTGGGCCAAAAATATACAAGACGCTCTTGACAAATCTATTTTGCCTTCCACCTCCAGAGACCCAGAGACGCTAAGTTAATGAATATATGACATCGATATCAAACCTGGCTTAGAAAATCTTAGTGTATTTGAGACTCTGAAAAGAAAAGTTGAAAGTTTTGATGAACCGGATGAACTTAATCGATACTGTGTTCTATGTATTGATGATATGAATATCAAGTGCAATTTGTTTTATAATAGTGGTCGTGATAATATTGTAGGTTTTGAGAACCATAAGGGGAACAGAGAGTTTAAACCAGCTCGGGTGTCTAATGTTGTTACCAATGGGAAGCAGTCCCTAGCTTATTTTACAAGCTTTTATTTAACTTGCTTTGTATGTTTGTTTGTTCGGGGCAAATCTTGTAAGCTAAATTAGAAGCACTTCCTTTTATTGTAGGAAATTGAAATTTGGCATGTAGGTTTAGTCCCGATGACAATACATTTTCTTGCAAGGCATTACCCGAATTTTTGACTGCTGTCAAAAAAATTTCAAAGTTGTCCGATTTTGATAAAAATCGATATATAGGATTGCCATGGGCTAAAATGAAAGAAAAAAAAATTGAGCTGTCAAATTTGACAGCTGTCAAAAAAATTTCAAAGTTGTCCGATTTTGATAAAAATCGATATATAGGATTGCCATGGGCTAAAATGAAAGAAAAAAAAATTGAGGTGTCAAATTTGATAGCTGTCAAAAAGAATTCAAAGTTGTCCGATTTTGATAAAAATCTATATATATATAGGATGGCCATGGGTTAAAATGAAAGAAAAAAATTGGGCGGTCAAATTTGACAGCTGTCAAAAAAATCTCAAAGTTGTCCGATTTTGATAAAAATCGATATATTGGATACCCCATAGTCGGTTTTTATTTTATTTGTCTCACATTTGAACTGTCAAATTTGGCAGCTGTCGTTTTTTTAAGTTCTTATTTTTTAATGAAAATCGATATACATATTATTAGGATGCCCATAGGAAGTTATTTAAGAAAAATAATTGAGTTTAAATGTGTGGCACTGAACCAGCATAACTAAAAAGTAAAAAATAAATTTAAGAAAAAAACTTTTTAAAAACAAGCTTTTATTTAAATACATTAAAAAGAAAAAAAATAACTTTTTCTTTAAAACTTTTATTATGAACTTATAACGTCATTACACAATTTTATATTATATAAAAGCTTGTCGCGAGATTTGAGTGAAAAAAAAACTGGTACGACAACTTTATCTTGTAATTCCAATATCTTGTAAACCTATCATTATTCCCATCCAGGATAAATTCATCCAGTTTAGAAGAACATTTAAAAAAACTTTGTGTCCGAATATTACACACTGGTACTGAAAATTGCCAAAATGATCTGGCAAACATCTTATTAAAAATGGCAGACCTCTGTTCTTTTCTCTCTGAATTGTCATGAGCTATCCATTAAAATTAAAAATAGATACGGATAATTAGAAAAACAGTAATTTAGAAATGAATCTTGTTTGTCATTTTGCAGGATACCTAATAATAAAAATTACTTTGAATGCCGTAGGCAATGATTGAGTATTAAAACTAAAAGAATTTCGGACTTCCATTGTACTACTAAACTACAAAAACCAAATATATCACACACAATAAACAAAATATATCACTCAAGAAAAGAATGAAATAAATTAAGCCGCACGCTACTGACTCAAAGCTGCCCTAACTGTATGTTGTCGATGACAAAGACTACGACACTGGTTAATTTCTGTTGCTGGCACCCATAATGGCGGCGTGCGCAAAGATATGCGCGTAGCGTTCCCGCCAAAGCGAGTTGGCCTGCCGTGTGATTTATATGCCATGCCGTTATAGCTAGACAGTTGAAATTTTTACAGACATTAAACATTATCTTTTAAGTAAGAATTTTACATAGAATCATCAAGTCCTTGGTGACCGCGTGGTTAAAGCGTTAGGACTTTACGCTGCTATGACGTTGGAGCCGTAGTAAGGCAGGTTCGAATCCTAGCCAAGGCGACTTTTTTAATCGTTTTTTTTTAAATTTTACATATTTTCTCATATTTATTTTAACTTTTTACATATTTATTATTGATTAATACAATTTTTAGTAATGTGTTACATTTTTTTTAAATTACTTCACGCATTCAAAATTTCAGCGAAATCGGAAAAAAAGTTTATAATAATATAGTGTCTAATGTTGTATAGATAATGAATGGTACGGAACGGAACCCTTCGTGCGCGAGTACGACTCGCACTTGACCAATTTTTTATCATATTTTTATTCTAGAGGTTAGGTTGCTGGAGTTTGTGATTCTGTTTGATCCCTCACTTATCTCGGGGCCCATTGCGATACCCCTGTTATTATTGTATCAAACCCTCCTCTCATTCTTTCTTTGCTTTAAAGCACTTACAGTTCTTTGCAGAGATCCTGATGTCGCTGATGTTGGCTTCTGCTGCTTCCTCTAGTCCCTCCAAAAAACCGTGCCCTAGAGTTTTAAGCCTCGGTTTTCCAGTATAATATAAAAAAAACTGTTTTTTGATACAATTTTGCCTAACCTGCTTTGAAATACACTGCACGACACTGCTTAACAGCCCTTTCAAAGTTCTAAGTGCAGGTAAAATTCTAGTTTCCAGGTTATTGAATTGAGTTCATTTTCATCACAATAAAAATCATTATATTCTAGGTGTATTTTATGAACCCAAATTACCCTAGATATCTGTCAAATCACTAAGATTTAACATTTCGCCATATGTCTATTTGTCTATTACTAACACATACATACTTTTGATTGCACTACACTTATTTTCTGACATTAAAACAACACGTTTCCATATTTCTGCTTTGTGAAAATTAAAAAAATAGCTGATTCTTTGATGTTTCACATCTTTCCAGGAACTAATTCAATTCAATGACTAACATAGTGATATGGTTACGAGTAACCGCTCTAATTTAATACAGGTATTGGGAGAAGTTAAAATAAACAGCAAAACACGTTTTCAGAATTAGGTTTTGAGCTATGGTTTTGAGTATTAATTAATATGTATAATATATTTTTAAAATACCGGGCGAAAAAATCTGAAGAAGTGTTTTGACATTTTTTTACTGCACATTTGTATTGAAGCATGCAAAAATATGTATGTATTAAGATTTAAAGGAGTTTATTTTACCTAAAAAAATAATTTTTTATGCATGTATCATAAATATGTTTACAAGCGATATCAATTAAACTTTTAGTTACGCAATCGAGGGCGTGATCTTTCAATTCATTTTTGCCAACCATGGACATATTCGACGCCGGCGCCGGGCTGACTAACTGGAATACAAATATTCCGCTGGGGATTCAGGTAGTAGCTCTGCTGTAAAAAATGTCAAGTTGCCGCATTTATTTATTTCCTGACATTGTCATTTGTTTTGACACTTTAGTTTCGTATTACGAGTTTTGGTTTAAATGAATTCTGTTGTGATACTTTAAGCATAATTTTTCTTACTAGCAGACCTTGCAGTTGAACATTGTTCTTTTTAGAACCTCTTTTAGTGCGAAGTGTACAAGATTGCTTAATAGCCATTGTAAAATACTCATCGCAACCTTATTAGAATATTTTGAACGGGCACGCGATAATAATGGCTCTTTATGTCCCTTAGGATGGTGATGTTAAGGAGGTGAGTTTCGTTGATGTAAATCATAACAGATATATTTATAATTAATTTATTTTTGTTTCCTAAAATATTTTGATTAAAAGAAAATATGTAAAAGCGGGCAACGCTGTGCCGGTCAAGCTTAATCACGTAACTAAAAGTTTATTTGATATCAACTATACATTTTTTTTGACAAATAAGTATTTTCTTGAAAATTTTCGATCGATAATTTGTTTTGCCATCGGTAATAATCACTAATCCTAAAATTCTCGAACAGTTTTGCCAACTATTGAATTATGTATTTCAGTCATTGTAGATTGCTTCGTATATTTCAATTTTCTACACCATAATTTAGTTCATTTTCTTTTTACAGTCGCTGACTTTCTTTTAGCGCTAGTTTAGAGGTCAATAGTATTTTTAGGAATATCAGAACATATTTGTTTTGGTTTTGAATATTTAGCACCACATTTGCATGATTTTACTATGTAAAGACTGTTCAGCCATCGTTCACCGTTACGTCATCAAAATTTTTGTCAAATATGAGTTTTAGGGTGTGTCTGAGATCAGTTCATATTGTTTAGAAAATTTTATGTACGTTCCTATATTATTGATTCGAATTCTCTTTTTTTTCGGCATTTATTCTTTTTTCTTTAACTCTTCATCAGTTAGAATCCCTTTAATTCCAATCCTTTGGATTATTGAAATTATTATTTCTAAAGCATAAGCACTCGCTATATTATTTGAAAACGCTATTAATTTGTATTTTACATAGGAATTTACACCTTTGCATTGTACTTACTTCATACAGGGTGACAGTTTGAAAACGAACAGTATTTAATATTACCTCTACCGATGATAGTATGAAAATTTGGCGAAATACGTCAATTTACATATCAAGGGGGACAATTTTTGAGGCATTTGTTGTGTTACTTTCAACCCTTTGACCCCAGGTCACCTACCCCTAAAATTTTAAATGGAAACCCCTATTTATTTTACCATTTTTGTGTTCCTTATAAAATCCTCAAAAAAATAATGCAGTTCATGTAGAATTCTATAAGAAACACAAACATGATAAAAGAAATAGGGGTTGCTATTTAAAATTTTATGGGTAGGTGCCCTGGGGGTCAAGGGGTTGAAAGTAACACGACAACAAATGCCTCAAACATTGTCCCCCTTGATATGTAAATTGACGTGTTTCGCCAAATTTTACATACTATCATCGGTAGAGGCAATATTAAATACTGTTTGTTTTCAAATTATCACCCTGTATACGGCGTCCACGGGTAAGAGTGCTCTAACAGCGTCTCTTTCTCGAGAAAAATAATTTATAAGCTTAGCAATGAGCTCTTGTTCATTTTGTTTAAATCTTAAGTTATTTTTGAAATATAAAAAATTTTAATTTTGATTTTGACGCTGTCCGTTAATAAAATTATAACCTCAAATCAAATGACGATGACAATTACTTCAAAGAATATGCAGTAATTTACGAAATGCCGTAATGACGTCATCAATCTATTTAATCTGGTTCGGAAGTGACAATATATGACGTGATGTTGAACGATAGCTGAACATTCTATACCAATTAATATAATGTGTTTTTTTTAATGTTACGTTCAATTTCAAAAACAGACCAATGATATATTGTTCTAAGCAGTATATTGTTGAGGTACAACTAGTCTTTACTCGAGTATTTAGATGCACTATAGTTTGTTATTGGTCAATGTATATGGAGAAATGTATTTTTTTTTAAATTGAACGAATTTGCCTATAAGTACCAAACCATTGAAATAATCCTTTCACTGACTTTTTAACTTAACTAAGCCATTATTAAAACCACCATAATTCTTTTTTCAGGGTTAAATTTAGTCAGTCGATCACGGGAAATGCTCCCGTCTCATCCCTACCAATCCCAACAGCAGCAACAACAAACAGCGTCGGCCTACACCGCCATGGAATGCGACTCTTCGCCCTCGTCGCTCCGACAGCAGCACCATCCCCATCGGACGTCCGGTACGGCGCCTCAACGCTACCATCACCAAGGTGGACCCATGTCCCTGCCCTACCATCCGGCCTTGGTCCACCAGAACCCCAAAAGCAACGGTAGCAGTAGCACAAACAGCAGTGGCAGCATGGGAGTCGGTAGTAACCAAGGTACCCAGACTGTTGGCGGTGGTCCCAGGGTTACCAACAACAAACCAGACAGCGGTCGAGACGATGGTAGTCCGATGGTTGGGGTGTGCGTGCAACAGAGCCCTGTGGTGATCCATTAGAACTACTACCGTGGGAAGCTACTGGTGCCGGTACATAAGAACTACTGAGAGAGACTTCTTGAAGTCTTTTTTCTTGGTGAAATGTCGTGGGAGACTCGTTTGATGAAAGAAACGGTTTCAGTTCAATGGGAAATTCCTGAAAAGTGGTTTTGTACGTTTGAATTAATATACAAGGTGTTTCAAAACAAATGCGAAAAACTTTAAGGGTGATAGGTATTTGGTAACTTAACTTGACAACTTAAGTAGGTCTTAAAACACTTCTGTATGCTTAAAAAATCTTAGATCATATAATAGTTGAAACGTCCAAAATCAATTTTCAAACTTAAATTAATTTAGAAAAAAAGGAATAAATGTACCGTGAACTAAAACTGTATTCAGTCAAAAAATAATTCGAATATAGCAAAATACGGTTGCTTTTGGGCGCTAAAGAATAATTTTAGAGCAGAAAAATGCAATGGGACTAGTGCATAAGAAATATTGTGATTAATTTGTTTGACAGATGTATGTTTGGCCGAATGAAGGGATCCATAAGCCCTGTCTAATACAGATATCGATTTCTTATTTAATTTTCGTTTGTGAAATCTATTAAATGATGTGGAAGAAAAGATAGGTAAAAGGTTGAGAGACATTTTTTAGAGAATACGAAGTAAAAAGAGGCAAATCATTATATCTGTAAATTCACCAGTTTTTAAACACTGAAACGGTAAACTACAACTAGTGTTTAACTATATTGCGTAATTATAGATTGTATACATGTTTTGCCTACAGTTGTTTTGCCTATATTGACTGTACAATTTATTTGGAGTTGTCGGATATTTTTTGCATTTGACTTATTTCATTATTTTCTTTAATTACGTAGATAAATCAAAAATCGATTCAGCATATCCGGTAAAAAAAATATTTTAACATGTCATAAAATTATTTTAAATCTTCCGAATGAAGTCCCTAGATACACATTTATATAGACATAAAATCGAATTGTATATATCACTATATACTTAAAGGGCATATTTGAAAATTTGTGCTGTAACAGATGTCACATGACTTGTTAAAATATATTTTTTTCTAATTGGATATACTGCAACTCAATAACATTTGATTGAATTTATTGTGAACTATCTGTCTCAAAGTATAAACAGAAATTCATAATATTTATGTTTCTAATGCCAGGCTAATGCCAATTTCTAAGTCCAGACCAAGGCGACAAAAAGAAAACACGATTTTGAGACAAAAACAAGACAAACTTGCGACAAAAAATGGGGAATTCTGACAAGATAAACTTGAGACAAATTGTCCACACCGCAAGGACAAAAGTACAACAAAGTCAAAAGTTTTGTTGTTGCGAATGAGTTTTATTAACCATGTGTGATTTCACTGGTCTCCTACTGTTGGCAGCACACGCTATCTGGCAGCACTGCGCCAAATAGGTAGTCCATCTGTCATATGAAGATGCAATGTTGCCACTGTTGCATTATCAAATATCTCTATATACCCTATTTCAAGTACCTACGCCTCAGGCAAAGAATTTTCCTAAATCATTTTTTTATTTAATTATCATTTTTTTTATTATTTAGCTGTAAGATATTTTATGAGTTTCCTATTAACTATATCATTGTATGACAAAAAATATTATCAATACTTAATTCCACTTCAAATTATGAGCAGCGTATACCATGTTTATAGGACCACTTCATAAGTTGACCAGTTATATAGGTAGTCTATCTGTCAAACACGTCAAAAGAGAGAGAAATAAAATTTGGTCCCACCACATCAAAAGAGCCGACGGTTTCTGTCGCTACTCGTCGATCCACTTACTCTGCTTTTATCTTTACCGACTCGAGACGGGACATTGAAAAGTCTCCGAATTTTGAAACAAAACAAAAACGAGACAAAAATGTCGCAGAAATGTATTGGATTTGTCGATTGGCAACTTTGTCGTAAAACATGAATATTTCTGCCCCGTCGTTGTGTTGTCTGCTTGGTCTGGACCCGGCATTAGTCATTAATTTATTGTTTTGGATATAATGTACATTAAAGTACGGTCGTCGTTGAGAGTGACAAGCGTTACAAGACATTCTTTGACTTATCTCTCAATTGCATTAAAAATTCCGCAACTCCAGAAACATTGGCTCTGGTTTTCCTAATAGTCTTATTTATTTGTTTAAAATAAAAGAGCCAGCAACCCCATAACAGTATTAAGTTAAATCACTGTATTGAATTTAACCAAAAAATTATTAAAACATATAGTATGAAAAAATATAATATTAAAATTGGTTAAATTATTATACACAACGATTATACCTACCAAAAACATTCAATAGAAAACATAAATACCTCAAATCCATTTTGATTTTTGCAAATTTTATAAACTAAATCGTAAAAAAATAAAAAAAAAATAACCAGGGCCAAAATAAAATGAACCCACCACTAGTGGACAATGTGTTCAATAAATAAATAGTTGTGCAATTCTTATTATTTGGGTGTAACATATAGTTATAAACTCAACAGAAATTATAAGTAATTATTGATACTGAAAGAAATATTATTTCAGTTTGAGCTTTACTGTTTTGATTGATGTCAAAAAAATTAGCAATAAACAGTATACAGCGTGTCGCGTTTTAGTTGAAATCATACAGTATCTCCATGAAAGTGCAGCTGGAAGTACGCGGTTTATACAAACCTCTCCGAGTTCTTTCTCAAACGGAAGACGCTGTAAATAAAATGTTCATGGCCCTCTTTGTTTCTGAGCTACAGTTTTTTTTTACATTTTGCACACCACCCGTATCTCTGCGATTGAGAAAGGTATCGAGAAGGTAAAAACTGTTTCTTGTAGAGCTTTTTACAGAGAATACAGTGGTGTAGTCTGTTATTGTACAAAAAAAAAAATGAAAATTATTTAAAAACTTTTAAATTTTATTAACTTTTATTTAAAATTTTTAAATTTTATTAACTAATGTTATGTTTTCTTAAATAGAACATCCTATATATTCATAAGTCATATGATCTGAAAATCTTTCATTAAAAGATCATTTTCATTAGTAGGCCGTGATTGATAATAAAAGAAACAAAAGAATTATTAAAAGTATACTATATAGTTATTTTGGGAAACACTAATATATTTTTTTATACCGGGTGCGTCTCTAAAGTGGCTTACCCCTATAACTTTTTAAATTTTTACAGTTAAAAAAAACGAATGTTAGTATATGATATAAATAAGGATTGACTGGACGTATTCAATTGTTTTCGGTCACTTCCTGTTTCATCGGACATGACTACAACTTTTTCATTTTTAAATAGTACCCTCTGAATTTTTTACTATCTTAGATAGAAAATAACATTCTGAATAGAATGACATATCATATGTCAACTTTTGACATTTTCGCATATGGTTTATTTGAAATTACAACTTGCGGTTCGTAACGAAAATGTGACTCAAAATACTAAGTGTATCAAATTATTCGTAAAAAATGCTTTTTCCGAATATGCTACTACCCTCGCTCTATTTGAAAAAATTGAGATATGATTAAAAATATGATTTGGGAATCTTTTAACCTGCCAGGACAAAGCACTAAAACAGACGATCAAATCTATTTTTCCAAGGCTCCTTGATTAAGAATTAGTGTTTTTAACATGGTACTCTAGATTGAAATTTAAAATACGATTTTTTATTAAGCGAGAATGTCCAAAATTGACATATGATATGTCATTCTATTCAGAATTTCATATTCTATCGAATAAAGTAAAAAAATACCGATGGTGCCATTTAAAAATCAAAAGTTGTAGTCATTTCCGGTGAAACAGGAAGTGACCAAAAACAATTGATTACGTCAATCCATCCTAATTTATGTCATATACTAACATACCAAATCTCGTTTTTTTATCTGAAAAAAAAAATTAGGGGCGAGCCACTTTTGAGACGCACCCGGTATATCAGGGAAACCTAACACCCTACCGCTATTTGTAAATCTTGGAAGTTATCGTATCGGAACTTTTAGATAAGATATTTCTTTAGCTAATTTGCGTGAAATATACCGTATGAAAAAAGAAAAAAAAAACGGCGTCCAGTTGGCTGGGAAATGACGATCGATGGCATTAGTTATTTTTGAAAAATGAAATATATTGTGGCAACTACAATAATGTGGAGGAAGCCTTAGAAAATGCCATCAGGGGCAAGCTTTTATATGTTTGCAAACCTATCCCGTTATAAGAAATCCCCTTATAAAAAAAAAGAAATATATACAGATTGTTAACTGGACGGTTACTTATTGGGGAACAGAATAGCAACACTGCCTACATTCTAAATGAGTACTAAGCTAAGTTGCAGACTCGTCCCGTCGCGTTGTCTCTCGACGAGCGGACCGAAGTCGCCATATTTCAACCATAAAGCTCTTGCCGCGAGTAATAAACAAACTAACAACCTGTATATTGATAGATTCAGTGGTAACAGTGAAATATATTAGGTCCCAAATAAAATTTTGATATATACAGGGTGATTCCTGTAAGTTGGTCATACTTTCGGGGAATGATGGGGGACGTCGAAATATTAACTTTGATATAGCACACTATGGGTCGGAAATGCCTCTTACGAAAGATACAGGGTGGTAAAATTTTTGAAAAATTAAAGATATTCTTTGATATTTTTTTTAACAGTTGAAGGTATCGTTATAAAATTTTATTATAGGAGTCTACCTAACAGAGACACTTTAAATGTAAAAAGAAGAGTTTTTAGTTTCAACCAGTGGCGTAGATGTGATACGCATAGGATAATTTTTTCCAAAAATATAGTACGCCACTGATAAAAATTAAATTTTCGGAGTTTCTTTATTTACTTGGTTTATTTCCAAGAAAAAATGTCTCTTGCAACTTTCTCGTATATAACATCATTTTGTCACAATTTAAAAATAAATATTTTTTTTTAATGGGAACCTTAAATATGCGAATTATTGTAACTACCTTAAAACTAAGAATTTTATTATTAACAATAAAAAAAAATTCTAGTTTAAATTTATAATTTTTTAAAAATTTATTTAAGGAGCTAAACCTTGGCCTATTTAAATTCATATGTACATAAGTGATGAAGGGAGCTGACGATGCACATGTGTTTCTGCCCTCTAGTTATAATAATTCGCTGTATTTAAGATTCTCATTAAAAAATGTATTTATTTTTAAATTGTGACAAAATGGTGTTAGATAGGAGAAAGTCGCAAGAGATATTTTTCCTAGGAAATAAACCGAGTAAATAAAAAAAACACTAAAAATTGTATTTTTTATCAGTGGCGTATTATTTTTTTGTCAAAATTGCCCGATGCGTATCACATCGACGCCACTGGTTGAAACTAAAATTTCTTCTTTTTACATTTAAAGTGTCTTTGTTAGGTAGACTCCTATAATAAAATTTTATAACAATGCCTTCAACTGTTAAAAAATTATTAAAGAATATCTTTAATTTTCCAAAAACTTTAACACTTATCTTAACTTATCTTGCTTAAGACGCATTTCCGACTCATAGTGTTCTATATCAAAATTAATATTTCGTCGTCCTGTATCATTCTCCGAAAGCATGACCGACTTACAGGAATCACCCTGTATACATACATTGTAATTTTTGTATTATCTATCACGACTTACTAATAAGAAAATGATATCTTTTAAATATTGCTGTAAATAGTGAAAATAAATAGTGTTCTATATTTTTGAAGAGCGCATAGGAAGCTCCATCATATGATTTATGAATATACAGGGTGTTCTGTTTGGGAAAACATAACTTTAGATCAAATCTTCAAAACTATTTTTTTTTCATAGAAAAATAGACTAGCTACCATATTATGGACAAATTTCTATAAGAAACACGTTAACGGATATCTTTTAAAAAGATTTTTTTATAGCTCAGAAATGAAGAGAGTTCTGAAAATTTTGTTTATAGCATCTTTCGTCTGGCCAAAAAGTGAGACAAGTTTGTGCAACGCGCATCCTCGTATCTTCACTAATAACGGATATACCGTATGATTACAACTAAAATGGGACATCCTGTGCAGTTCAAACTAAATTATCATTTCTACGGTATTTATTCCTGGACAGTAGAACTAATTTGTAAGATTTAAGTAATTTGTGTTTGTATGTTTTAAGAGCTCTATTTATTGCCCAAATGAAAAATGTTGCACATCGAGTACTAGAGTATACTTCACAAAAGTGTATTTTATCAAGTTTAACTGCAGATTGTTATTGTTTTAAGGTAAGGAAACTAACTGTAAAGGGACTTTTATGTTATTATTTTTTTTTGTAAATACCTACCTATTTCTAGGACTTGTAATTTATACATATACACATACACACACTTATTTATTTTTTTCTTTTACCTCATGAATAAGCAATCATTCACCCCATAATCGAGCTACGAGAGGAGAGATTTTTACAAAAAGAAGACGGTTAAATAATTGAAAAAAGTCCGTAAAAAATGTAGAAAATATTATAGTGTAAATTTTACCATAAGCCATCATCTATAAATTCCTACTTGCTCTTAAATAAATTTACAATGGAAAAAGAGTAGTTTTATTTGCGATACCTGTCCGTGATCATTCCTGGATTGTGTTTAGAAAATTTTAACCAGTGGCGGCTCGTCAGGGTAGGCTCCGAGGCCTACCCGGTGCTCGGTTTGTGTCGTACTTTGTGTCAAGTACGACACAGACCGAGCATCGGTGTACATCGGGAAAAAATACCCGTTAAGTTTCTGTTCTTTCTTCCGTATGAGGCTTAGTGTTGGCGGTTGGAATCGCCATGAATGTTTGTAGGTATAATATGGATTAATATATGTTTTGGTGTCTGAAGAAGCGACAATAAAGTCGCGAAACGTCGCAAAAATATTGTTTCTTTTCGAGCCTTACCAAACACCCACGATTTTTTTTCTTTCTGCGTACTAATTATTACTGGGAACTAACCTTTGAATAAGAAGACTAAGGAAGGAGCATATCAAAAATCTTAGGTACACCGCGATGGGCCTCAAATATGGCCGACTTAAATTCCGGTTTATCAGTGTCGTTCTAATTTTATTTAAAAAATGTAAAACTATGATGTAGGGTAGACGTGGGATAGACTCAATAATTTGTTGTTTTATTTTACGTTGTGAATAAATGTTGGTAGTTATTAAAATTGTTATAAAAATATATAATTCTAATAAAAATAGATAAGTTATAATAAGTATTTATTAACACAAACATCCGATACGCTACTGAAGCAGGTAAGTCAAATTAACGTATCTAAATTCTTTGACATCTAATCTTTGACAAGTAATAAATAAAAGCTAAAATGCAAGAAAAATATATAATTTAGTTAATTTAAGTGAATTTCATAAATGATCGGTTTACTACACGTATGTATATTATATAGTCACTTGCTAGCGAAAAGGTGTTCCATTATTTCACTCAATTTTTGCCGAGATCTACCGCACGCTACACAACCAACTATTTTAGAGTCTTTATCGATAAATCGCGATAGTGTCACTGTTAATTTAAGTTCTGCCACAATTTCCATCTAGATTTACTACCTTTATACTACTATCAGTAGTAGAATAAATAATGAATAACATAAAATAAGCTCCGTAAAGACTGAAAAATCCACAAAATTTCAAATCAAATTCAACTGTGTCAAATGAATCGTCAAACAGAACTGTCAAGGATCCCCACCCTAGAGAGCTTTTATGGTGGCTTTTCCGCCCACCATGCATGAATACATGGATAGCATTATGCTCCTTCCTTAGTCTTCTTATTCAAAGGAACTAACAATAATCATAACCTATTTATAAAGTTATTCTTTCTATACTTAAAACACCTTTTATGAGACAAAATGAAACTGAAAAAAGACAAATAAATATTAAGGAGTCAAAAATTTTCGCAATATTTAACGATAAGAGGCAAGGTAGACAATAGGTATTTAAAAACTATTCAAATATTTTTACGTACCAAACCTAATAGGTTTGGTACCATTAAAAAAAGGATAACGCGTCGCAGAATAATACTTGATAGGTGAGAAAATTTATTCGTATTTAAACAAAATGATTAACCTTATGCAGCCTCACCTTCCTATATATTTACGGGCCGCCACTGATTTTAACCTTGACGCAATTAAAGAGATGCAAGTAAGGGTGCATCCACACTATCCTAAAAACGGCGTATCGGCGTAACGACCTTGAATTGATTTCCAGTAATTCTATTGGGTGAAATTTTTGACAGATAAAATTTCTGACAGATGAATTTTTCAGCCAATAAAATTACTGGAAATCTGTTCAAGGTCGTTACGCCGATACGCCGTTTTTAGGATAGTGTGGGTGCACCCTAAAAATAGCACATAGTCTAGTCACATATTGTATTTTTTGGGGGGAAGTTCTGCAACAATCTTTCATTACAACATTGAGACAAATGCAATGTAGTTTGCATTCCTCCTGTCCTTTGTCTGGTTAAGATGCCATTCGATCGAAAAAAAACGGCGTCAGCGATGGCTATGAAATGAAGATCGCTATCATTTTATATGGGGAATGCCATCATTCGACATTTGGACGCCGTTTTTTTTTTCAATCATACGGTACCTGTCCTTTGTCTGGTTTTAGAAAGAAGACATTCTTAATAGAGCTTATTAGGCCAATCAAAATTATCAATCCCACCATATTGTGACGTAATTATTTAATGGGACCAACGTGTGCTTCTCGCAATAAGAACATTGGCATCCATCCTAATGGTCAGCTTGATGTGATACAATTTTTGTAAATTATATTTACTTTAATTTTGAATAGAAAGATTATTTACGAAAAGTTGATATTTTAAAAGTTATAACAAAAACACGCAGAAATCCAGTTTTCTACTTTTTTGCATTTTTCTCTATATTCCGTCACGAAATTTTGTTAACAAACCTCAAATTCGAAATTAGCACCCCAAAAAACATAATAAATACAATATGATCGAAAAAAAACGGCGTCCGGTTGGCTTGGAAATGACGATCGATGACATTCCCCATATAATTTTACATATAAAATTACAGCGATCTTCATTTCATAGCCATCGCTGACGCCCTTTTTTGTCGATCATATTGTAGAAGAAATTAGAACTACGCCAAAACTTTTCTCCAAAAGGCTTTAACAGCGCCCTCTACTATTGCGCGTCTGTAAAAATGGTCCAAGGCCCTCTACACGATTGTTAATTGTACTAAAATATGTTCTTTTTTAAATAAGATAACGGAAGAAACAGGACAAAAACTAACAAAAATCTGTCAAAGTTTAATTCGAAATATCGCAAAATAAAAATATAAAAAAAATAGTTCTAAAATACTTGATAAACATATCGATCTAAACTATATAAAAAAATAATTTACAAACATATACGTATAGGGTAGTCCAAACAGTATTCGCGAAACTTCGGCAGCATATTCTGCAGATAAAAATAAGTAAAAAGTGAGTATTATGTCCTAAAATGTTTCGTTTCAAAGATACACAGGGTGTAGAAATTTCATTTTTATCTCGATTTTTTCCAAATAATTTCTGAAGTAACATCAATATTTGGATGAAAATTGGTGTCTGGGAGTTTTTTGACATGAGAAATTTGATTTTGATGCCAATTTCCCTTCTACTTGTAGAGGGCGTCTAATAACATTTTGTCCGTACCTGTCATAAAACTAGTACGTAAAAAATATTCATTTACGATGTTTTTTATATAAGAAAGGTCTCTTGGTAAAAATCGCTACGAGTAATGATTCTCAAGATATTTGGAACGTAAATTATCAATACCTGAAATTGACATAAACTGAACATGTTGACTAAACTACCCAACCAATCTACTCAACATGTTTATTTTTTGTCAATGTATTGACTATTTCAATTTCAATTTCAAAAATCTTGAAAACGGTTACTCATATCGATTTTACCAAGAGACCTTTTTTATGTAAAAACCCGTCGAAAATGTATATGTTTTTACTCAGTAGTTTTATACAGGTATGGACGAAAAGTTATTACTCTTCAAACCAGTTAAAAAATAACTACCTAGGTGTGTGACTCCTAGTTGCAGAGGGCGCCTACAACTAGGAGTCATATTGACATCAAAATAACATTTCTCATGTGAAAAAACTCCCAGATACCAATTTTCATCTAAATATTGACCTTCCTTCAGAAATTATTTGGAAAAAATCGAGATAAAAAAGAAACTTCTACACTCTGCATCTTCAAAACTAATCCATTTTAAGACATACGAACTTTTTACCCTATTTTCACCTGCAGAATATACTGCCAGAGTTTGCGGAATACAGTTCGGACCACCCTGTATATATCTAAAAACGTATTTAATTAAAAATAATCTTTCAATCGCTCGGGACAAAACAGGTATGTTTGAAAAAATTAAATTATATAAAGGTGCGTATTCATTATCCGAACGAACGAACGAATGTTCGCTAGTGGTATGGACGGGGACCGTACGATAGCACCGCACGAGAATACTGGACGCGAACGCCTTTGATGTACCGACTCGAAACGGATGGTCGAGCGAACGAACGAACGAACGGCCGCATGCGTTCGGTCCCCGTCTAAATATACCGCACTTTCATTCGTTCGTTCGTTCGTTCGGATAATGAATACGCACCTTAAAACGGAACGCAGTTAGGGTGGTTCTGCGTTGCTCCCAAAAAAATATAACTACCTTAGTCAGGCTGGATTCACACCATTATTGCAGGAAAAGCAGAACGGCGACAGTGTGGACTTACCCCTAGGTCTACTGATACAAGATATAATACAAACATATTATATTTCTAAAAAAAAAACACATACTTAAAAGACAAATTAAATTTTTTGACATTCGGTAACATTTAACAACCACATTTATATACAGAAAATGTGAAGCTATATTTTTTGAGTAGAAAAATAGCCTGTAAAAGTTGGCCTAAAATGAAGATTGCCGTCACTTTATTTGTAAAATTATATCGTGAATGAAAACCTTTATTTACAAAATTTATTCACACAGTATATGGTGAATGTCATTGATTGTTCATAATTTCCAAGCCTAATGAACGTTCAAAAACTTTTTTTTTCGTCGAGTTTATCGAAATGATTACGTTTTTGGGAGCGCAATCGCTCTTTTGTTCAATTCCTTTTCGTACATTTCAAACCACTGTGGCATATTATGGGCGAAAAACAAACAAAACGACTTGAAGGACTTCTTGTAAGCGTTAATTTTCTCTAAATGAACAAGAAGAGCATCATTCCGTTTTTCTAACATCAAACGAAACTGCACTATTATAGGGGAGTTCGAAATATTGTTGTAAACCTCTTTTAAGTTATTAGTTATCTTGGTTTCTTTTTCGATCACCGTCATTTCAGTTGTATTTGGCAGATTTAGTTTCTTTGCAGTAGCCTTCCTGGCATCCCACATATTGTATTTTCCCATACAAACATAAAAACTCTTTCCCGAACCATGCACGGTGGGTTCTTCCTCACTTTTGGCCATTTTAGATTGACTATCTTCCGCGGTCAAGTCTAGATCAAGAAAATCTCTTAGAGTCATCAATACAAACTCAGACGCCGTCTCAAACCATTCATCGTTTTGATTATTAGGCAAATATTTAATGGTAGTGGACCTGTGTAAGGTTATGTCAAGCGAGTCCTCTTGATAACTGCACTGAACTTTTTTCATTTGAACAGGTTCTTCGGTATAGAGTCTGTAGAGTGTTTGGTTCTTTTCAGAGAAAATTTTTTTCGCTATCTGACAACACAGAGTGAATTTTTCCACCACTGATTCGGTAACTACCGAAACAACATTTCTATTCAATTCAAAAGGATCCTGAATACATATGCAGGTATTAGTTTTAAGAGCCATTTTCTTGTTCTCTTCTACGCTCATAAAGTCCTTGTACCTCTTAAAAATATGAGGCAGACCTTTGTAATCTTGAAAATAATTTATTGGCAAGCTTTTTCCTGTGTAAGGACACAAAATAGTAGTAGCGAAATTAAAATTAGAATAAAAGCCGAAAAAGTTTTCTACAATCTCTTGCAAGGAAGTGTTTGAAATTTTCTCACTACGAACCTTGTGTTTTTCTATAAATCCTCCGTTCCAATAACCTTGAATTTCTAGAAAATGATTTTTTTCCGGTATTTGTAAGGACGAGACCGACGGTAAATTATACGGTTCCTGTTGTAAAAAGAAAATAAACATTAAAATTAGAGAGTAGCTGGTAAAGAGGTGATTTTGACCGGTTATTTTATGGAATTTCGCCCAGTATTTTAAAATTATCATCGCATCGTTAATTTTGGGGTCTATACCGAGGTAATAGCGAATTAGCTTGCTATTACACACGCCCAGCATGTTTTTTATGTTGATGTCACAACGAATTTTCGTTTTGGTATGGATGCATTTTACAATAGGAATTTTTGCCGAAGGAATACAAAAACAGTTTGCAAAAATCCGTGATTTTGATAGAGCAACCTTGATGATTTTCAGTAAGTCCACCTCATCTTCGTCAGATTGTTTGACGTTTGCCAAGTAAACGTCAATGTCGCTGTTGTTGAAATCGAGTCCCGTAAAGGTCGAGCCGAATGGATATACCTGAACATATGGGAAACTTGACGAAATAATATTGCAGAGATCTCTACAGACATGGCTGTATTTCTGGTAACATTCATTCATGTCAGGTTGAAGATTATGCTTCATACATGACACTTGCATATTAAAATCATGAATGTTTTTTAATTCGGATATCAGATATTCATATATCTGTTTATTCACTTCTTCGTCGTTCAAAACTACTAAAAACAAATTGTAGAGGTACTATTTTAGTTACATTAAATATTTTATTAGTCTGTCCAGAGGAAGTATAGTGTATGTATCATAGACTTAAAATAAAATATAGACTGAGCATCTCATTCATAAATAGCTGGAACATGCGGTCAGACACTGTCTTGTTATTGTTGTGTTATTGTTTTAGCACAGAATATACTAACGAAAAAGAAGCCCAAGTTCCTTGTAATAAATCGGTTCCATTTTCGTAACGCCATCTCTCGACATAGCTGACATTATAGGTTAGCCAAAGGGGTGCGGGGCCGGGGGGAATTGTAAAATACACTTTTTTATTTTAATTATTTTTATTCGCTATTTGCAATTTTATTTTTAAAACATATTATGTGAAACAATCACATAATATGTCTTAAAAATAAAATTACAAACGGAAACAAAAGGAATTAAATAATCTGAAAATCTAAAAAAAATTTGGCTATGCAAATTGATAAGTATATTAAGTATAACCTCTTTGGTATAACATTGTTAAACAAACATTAACAAATCATAACATATCAGATCATAGAACTAAAAAAAGTACTATTACATAAAAACAGGCGATACAATACTTCAAAATTAATTTTAACATAATATCAAAACCGAAAAATCAAACTGCAAACACAACCACACTTATCACAACAGAAATTAACACACACTTCCGCGGCAAATGTCCAAGAAAGACTGATCATTCTGATTGGTCCTGGTCCGGTCGTAGCTCACGTCGTATTGTCGGTAAGCAAAATCCCTGTCCAAAAATTTTGACGATCAGCGCCATCATCCGTCATAATTGGGAAACTTTTGCTGGAACCATTTTTAATATTTCACTTACATGGCCCTGTGTTTTAGGTTATAACGAGTGCGACACGAGCGATAGATAGGTTGTCTCTGTCGTAACGGTCGTTCTCTGACGACTCTGCCGAGAAACACAACACTGTCTTTCGTTTCTCAAGTACACCTGAACTCTCCGTATCATACCATAGCCGGGTAATTTTTTTATTTAAATGAAGCTATAATTAAATTAAAAATATATCGTATTTAAACTTTTTTATATTTTATTAAGATTTAGGACAGGTTTTTTAAATAAAAGTTTAGAAAAAACAGTCCAAAAAGGATAAAAATAATAAAATACACGTTATAGAAGAAATTTTATAATCGAAATTAGGTAATTTTTGAAATTAATAATAAATTATTAATTTTAGTCAAACATTTACAACCCCTAATATTAATCAAAACAGGATCTATTCCACAGATATAATAGAATCGGCGACAGGGAGAGAAAAAAAAATATGATTGTTGTAATTTTTTTCTGGTTAAGTGATGTCTTATTATGTAAATTAGAGAAAACATAAATCTGTTCCATTAAAGCAAGGAAGGTGATAGGAAGTGGATAAAATAAAAACTACATTTATTTAACTCGGTACTGTCTTTATTATACCGGGTGCGTCTCAAAAGTGGCTCATCCCCATAATTTTTATATATTTTCAAATAAAAAAACAAGATTTAGTATATTAGTATATGAAATAAATTAGGATTGATTGACGCATTCAATTGTTTTTGGTCACTTCCTGTTTCACCGGAAATGACTATAACATTTAATTTTTAAACGGCACCCTCGGTATATTTCTACTTTATTCGATAGAAAATGACACTCTGAATAGAATGACATATCATATGTCAACTTTTGACATTTTCGCATATGGTTTAATTGTAATTGTAACACGCGGTTCATAACGACAATTTGACTCGAAATACCAAGTGTGTGGTATCAATATATTCATAAAAAAATGCTTTTTCCAAATATGCTAACAGGAAGAGACCAAAAACAATTGAATACGTCAATAAATCCTAATTTATGTCATATACCTACTAACATACAAATCTGTTTTTTATCTGAAAAAATAAAAAAAGTTATAGGGTTGAGCCACTTTTGAGACGACCCGGTATATTAAAAAATATTGTTTCATAATGTAATATCATTTTAAAATTCTTGTATGTTATTTTAGATTCTGAAGATAATTTTAGAATAAACCGGAATATATTTTTAATAAAAACATTATTTATTATTAACAGGGTTATAATTATGATTTTGTTACAATGTAAGTAAGTAAATAATGTAATGTAAGAGAAAAAAATCAGATTTTACATTTTACTAAAATATTATCTAAATAAGCGCCTTTCTACAACAACGCCACTGACTCCCAATGGGTAAATTGAGAGTTGCCTACCGGTCAAAAGTCGTTTCAAGACTTAAATGGATTATTTAAGTCAAATTTCTTGCAAATTTGGCACTGGCGAACCATATTTTATAGTTTTTGAACAGAAAAAGTCAACACTTAAGGACTACAAGCTAAGAAAATGCGTTAATACAGCCGGGGAGATAGCGGCAACAAAGCTTTACCGCACACGTGCGACACGTACTACAAGGTAATAAATGAATGAATAGGCTCCCTCTAGAGATGGGCAAAAGTAACCGGTTTTTTGAATAACCAATATTTTCCTCTAAAATAACCGGTTATTTAAAGGTAGTTTTTTTTTCATCAGTTAACCTAATAACCTTGCATTACGTTCAATAACCTATAGCCGGTTATTTTTTAAAAAATCGTACTTGTTTAAAACAAGTAACAATTAAATATTAGCTGTTTGAATCGTAAATTTCGAAGAAGCGAACGGCACGGATCTTCCAGATATTACGACGATAACGGGAGATCCCGCTCCCGCTCCCAAAACGAAAATATATGACATCAAACATCAAATGTCAAAATTAAATCAGGCATCAGGCGAACCCTGATGATAATAATCAAAACAACGGCCAAATGGCCCTGACAGGTCAGGCCGTAAAACAAAGTACTAATGGCATAGACTACTACTAGCCACCAGCTAGCCAAGTGATACGAACCTAACTTCAAATAGATTCTCTAAATTCTATATTTAAATTTTAACCGACTTTAACGGATTTTCAACGGTTCTTCAAAAGTCTTCCATGGTTTCGCCCAGTTTCACCCACGTTTCACCGTAAATATATTTTATTTGTAGTTTGAAGTCTCTCTTGAAGCTTAGACTAAAGAATACAAAATTAAAGTTCAAGTAATGAATGAAGATAATCTTTCAATATCTATTCATTCAGTCTCCTTATTTTTCTTTGGTATTTGATTAAAATAACTTGGTTGTAGATTGTAGAACTTGTGAGTTGTGTAGTTTATTTGAACGTTAAGTAATTACTAGTTTTAATATTTAATATCATATCCATGTCTACTCAAAAAAGTGAGGTTAGCATTTTTATTTAAATTCATTTTGTACATATACATTCTTACATTGCTACAATCTCTATTTAATCATGCGATTTAACTAAGTTTATTATCTAAATTTGAGATAGACCTATGGAGTGTAGAGGTAAGTAAACCTATAGGAAAACTAAATATTTAGTTTTGCTAGGTTAGGTTATTTGAATAACCGGTTAATTTGTGTCGGTTAATTTTGTCAAGTTATTATTTTTTAAAGATAATTCCGGTTAACCTATAACCGGTTTTTTACCAATAACCGCCCATCTCTAGCTCCCTCGCCTCTAATCGGTGTTGTCATATTGTAAAGAACTTATCCTTATTAAACAGTATCCGACTTATATTTTAGTAGTATAAGGACTATTTAATACATCTATGGAATATTAAAACCTACTTTATTAAACTGTAGTATTAATATCTCAATATATGTGTATAACAAGAAAAAAAATATTGATAATATTAAAGACGTGACAACATAGGCTGGATGAGGAAGGCTCGGTCGACTGTCCCCAGAAGTAAACATGTGTACAAAAAAGGTTGTTTGTCCGCGTTGAGATGTAAATAGTGTAGTCTATATTTTATTTTAAGTCTATGGTATGTATAGTAAGATGATAATTTTACATCATCACTTCAGAGTTTCAACAGATATTAAAGAATGCACCAACATACTTCATTAGACAGACTATAGTTTCAAAGTAAACAATAAAAACAAACTGAAAGTAGCTTTCCATAAAGTTATTTACCTGTATTCCTTCTACTTTCTTTTCTTCTAACAAATAAACGGTTTCCACTCAAAAAATGGGACTTTTTGGATAAAACCTTTTCAACAGCTGATTGCTCCGTAAAATCAAGAAGTAAAAAGTCGTGTCCAAAATGCACCCACACAACATTCCCAAACTGAGAAAAGTACTTAACTAAGTCATTTTCTTTAGTTTGTGCCGAATAGCCTAAAAGCAATAAATTAAACCTTGAAAAAAAATTGATACACCTAAGTCAATTTTTAATAAATGACTAGAAGAAGTAGGCCTGAGAGTTATTAATTTCAAACACTGTCACATTACACTCATTACAGGCCACCATACGCCGTTTTTTCAGGCATTTATTTGAACACAGAAAAGTCTAAAACTAAATTTAACTTACCTCTAACATATATACCTTCGTTCTCTGAATTATGCTTTTTATTCATTTGATTTTGCTGTTTATTATTTGGTGCTTTTTCATCAATAAGCTTTATATTTTCAGTCATAGTTCAAATTGTAAATAAAAAAATATTAATATATTCAGTATAGCTTATCTCCTCGTCTGTTACATACTTTTAAAAAATACTTTGGACTAATGATACCACTTTCATCGCCTGGACTTAGAACCACTTCATTCGGAGACAAGAAAAACTTTAATCCATCAAGCAGAGCTAAAGGTAAATTTATATAAATAAAAATGTCACAGTTTTTCCTTATGCCACTTATAACACTGCTGTCAGTGGGTGAACCTTTAGCAAAATGGATATGATTTCTGTTCATGCGACTCAAACCTTCTTCTCTTATTTTATTCCAATTTTTAAAGTATGTTCCATGAATTACATCAAAAGACTGTGGTTCTGTAATTGGCAGAAGATCTAACTTATCAACACCCTAAAACAAAATATCCAGGTTATTTAAATAAAGTTTAACATGTTTTATTATTTACTGCGATTGAGTGTCCTTGATTGGCACAAATCTCTAAAAACCCTTGGCTATCCGTTTTCAAAGAGAATCTTTGTTTGTCATTTGTTAAAACTACCCTTTTTATGTCGTCAACGGTGTATTTTTGCCGAAAAAACTGGTGATTAAGTAAATCAGCGACTTTTATATAGCCCGCTTCGTCGATTTGTAAATGTTCTTCATTAGCTTTATGTCGAAGGATCTTACTTAAAAGTTTACTTAAAGCGATATCTTTACCGTCTTGCATCTACAAAGAGCAATAAAATAAGATGTTATTCATCAAATAAAGTTTTAGTTTTAATAAAAAGAAAAATATCTACTCTTTGAAATAGACTTGAAAAAACCTTCAACTTACTAGCAACTGGCATTAGAAATCCATTTTGTATATATAATTATGGCACTGCTATAAATAATAGTACATATTTAAAAAGTCACCATTATTTTTAAAAGTTACAAAATATTTACAAAACTGGATATGGAAAAATAACAGGAAAAATATAAAATCCACAGATAACAGAACCACAAAACAGAACTAAAGGCCCGTACCATAGGCCCGTATAATAAAATCCAAGGATGCCAAGGAACAAGAAAAATCACATTCTAATTCTGTGGTAATTTTGACAGTTGACACAATCGTTTGACACAATACATGGATTATATATGATTATGATCATGAATATCATATTTTTGTTATAAAACGGTGTTAATTTCTGTAAATATTTAAATTATCTTTTTATTATTAAAAAACAAGAATTTAATTGAGGTGAGAGCATAATGTATTTAAAGCTATTATCATACTGTTTATTTAAGTATTACTTAATAAGTAATTAAAGTTGTAAATCTTAAGTATCTGATAAGTAGTTTATGATCTCTGATGTTAAGTTTTACTTTTCTTTTGAGAAATCGTCAAAACCGTGTAATACCTGTAGTATTAACTAGTGCATTTAAAATGTCTTCAAAATGTGTAGTTGCGGTGTGCCAATTCACAGCCACACACGACAAAGAAAAGAATTTTTCAATTGCAAAATCACTAATTGATGAATCAGTTAAGAAACAAGCCAAGGTTAGTAAAATATTTTGCTAATGAACTTGTAAAAATGATGTAATTTTTAGATGGTATTTCTACCAGAGGCTTCCGATTATATTTCTCGGAATAAGAGTGAATTTAGGGAGTTATCAGAACCTATCAATGGATTTTTGATATCACAGTATAAAGATCTGGCGAAAGTAAACAATATCTGGCTATCTATAGGAGGTTTTCATGAGAAAATTGATGAAGTACGTTGTATATAATGATTATACTTAATACTGTTCATGTACTGATACTTTTTAGAAAACTATCTATAATTCACATATTATTATCAATGACCTGGGGAATATAGCTGCTATTTATAGAAAGATTCATCTCTTTGATGTGTCTATACCTGATAAAAATATTCACTTGAGGGAATCTGATAGCAATGCTGGTGGTTCTCAAATTGTTGCACCAATACAGTCTCCTATTGGATGTCTAGGATTACAAATAGTATCCTTACATATTTTAATTCAATATTATAAATTGAAAAGTCACTATGACGTCGTTTTTGTTTCAACAATACTGTGTTAATGTGATATTAATTTCTCTTAGTTTAAATAATTATCTTCCTTACTGCTTAATTAGTGTTATGACTTGAGATTTCCCGAACACAGCACATTACTGAGAAAATTAGGTGCGGAAATACTAACGTTTCCGTCAGCTTTTACTAGCGGCACAGGAAAGGTTCATTGGGAAGTCTTATTGCGTGCTAGAGCCATAGAAAATCAGTGCTATGTTATTGCAGCTGCCCAATATGGGGCTCACAATGATAAAAGAACTTCATACGGACATTCGATGGTAACATTTGTTAACAAAATATATTTTTACTTATTGATAATAAAAATACAAGATTGTAGACCCGTGGGGACAAATTCTGAGTGAATGTCCTAAATATACAGAGGGTGTAAACACTGATCAGAGTGTTGCTGTGGCTACAATAGATTTAGATTTGGTGAAAAAAGTTAGGACTGAAATGCCAGTATTTTCTCATAGAAGAAATGATATTTACAGTTTGAACCTTATAAATACAGGTGAAGAAATTGATGATGAAAAGAATTATACATTTGCTGATAAAATTGTGCCAGGAAAAACAGTATTCTACGTGTCTAAATATTGTTATGCCTTTACAAATATCCGCTGTGTAGTCCCGGGACGTGAGTATATATTATAGTCATTACATTTATAGAGGTTTCGTATAACATTAACTACATTATTAAACAATAAAAAGTGAATTGGACATTTTTGTTTAATGTAGGATTTAATATATATTTTTTATTAAATTTACCAACAATATGACTTAGATATGTACCTATGCAACTTGTTTTAGAGGTTCTTGTTTCAACTTTAAGATTAGCAAAGAGACTTCAAGATCTCAGCAAAGAAGAAATTGCTGATTTATTTGAAACCGCAATAAAAGTATCTAAAATTATAGAGACAGTTCATAATGCTCATTCCACAACTTTATGTGTGCAGGATGGTCCTTATGCAGGCCAAACTGTAGCTGTAAGTGACAAAGAGAGGGTAAACGAAGGTTTTGAATGTGTCACATGATAAAATTTTTATTATAGCAAGTCCACACACATGTTCTACCTCGCAAAAAAGGTGATTTTGCTAATAACGACGATGTTTATCTTCATTTAGCTCGTCATGATAACAAAAATAACAAAGACCCCTTCAGGAGTTTGGAGGAACGTATTGAAGAAGCTGCTTTATTGAGAAAATATTTTTACTAAAATATATTTTGTTATAGATATTAGAATTGTATATTAAACGATTAAAAATTTGCACAAGCAAAAGTTATTTCATTTTTAAGATACTTCTACAACTAAGAATTAAAGAAAAAGTAGGAATATAGAATTAAAAATACGCTTACCACCATAGAGAAATACCACAAAAAGTTAATAATTCTGTTTTAAAAACAAATACGGTTTGGCTATGAAAACAAATCCTTGCTTTTTAACATAACAGCAAATAACAGTTTGAAAATTTTTAAATAACCATTTTCTGCGCCATTTTCAAATTTTTCTTTTGTTTGCCACTGAGCATAGTTCTTGCATAGCCGTTTCTTAAGTATATGATAAACTATGGCATAGACCTGTTGAATACTTCACATGCTTTACATCATATACTTTATCCACAGATTAGGTATACAATATATGCTTTGACCATTGAGGAATAAAGGATTGGAGGCGCAACAGCTATTGCGAAAACGGGATTCAGTCATCAGCCACTCTCTATATCTCTGCTTATTCCTCCGTGCTTTGACGTCTCTTTAGTTAATAGCTGTGGTTAATAGTTAACATAAAAAACATCAACATTTTTCTTAAAAATTTATAATTCAAATCCACTGATTCAACAACGATTTTTTACCTGTTTTTACTTATAGAATGGATAAAAGCAGGTACTTGTTAAATATTATTATTTTTCAGCGTTGTATAATAGATTTAAGATGTTTTTAGGGGCAGAGACCATATAAAGAACAAAGCAAAATACAAAGGCAATACAAAAAAGAACCCGAAATATGTTCCATCTAAATCTAAACCTAATTTAGAGTCAAACTGGGATCGCTATGATGAAGAGGAAGAGACTAAACAAAATAAAACTGATCTTAACTTAGAATCAAATTGGGCACGCTATGAGGAGAAACAGCCTATACACGACCCCCATTTAACCAGTAGCACAGATTTCTCATTGCTGGCTAGTTTGCCCATATCGGCCGGCAGTCATTTTCAATATAAATTCGATGAAAACGATAAAAAACTCGAGGGCATATTCTGTTTGGACGTGGATCTATTGCATAAAAGTATTTTAACTGTGCCGCTGTATGAAAGAATAGGTATATCAAAACAGTATTTTGAGGTAAAATAGGTGAATTTACATATTTTTATTTGCTGATTTGAGTTTTGATAGGATGAGGAGGTTAAATCTATGGATGCTGATGCCGATCAAAGTTTAGTATGTTATAAAGAATATATTGATAGTATAAGTACATCAGAGGAGCAAACCAATTGTTCAAATAAAGAAAAAGTGCCCGAAGTAGATAAAAATGAGGTTAAGAGAATAGGTCTAAAAAATTAATTGTGTGTAAACTATTATATTTTTTTATTTAATAATTTTTGTTTTAGATGTTCAACAAAAAGCTGCCAATGATTTTCAGGAAAACAATGAAGATTTGGAACAGTGGTTAGATGATATTTTAGATGATTAAAGTATTGTCTTTTATTAATTGTTATTTTTAAATATATTTCTTATTTTAACTTTGTTTTTTTTACTTAGGGAATAAAATTTATAGTTTTTTTGGCAAATTAAATATGTGCTAGAAATCAAGAAATAGAATAATTTACTTACTTTACTAGAATAATTTAATAATTGATCTGTGGTGCCGTGCCTTACTCTATATGTTAAATGGTAAAGAAAAGAAATACTTAAAATTAGTAAAATAAGGGTAAAATATAACAAAAAAATCAAATTTAGTATAACATAAAAACTGATCTACATTATGAGATAAACCAAAATCTGCTAATTCATGTAAACAAGACGTGAAAATTTTAATCTCATGAGTTTAGCAAATGTTCTTACATCAATTAAAAGTGATTAATAATTTATCATGTTTATTTTTTGAAACTGGTATTCTGTTATCTATATCACATGGATATTTCTGCTAAAAACTGGAGATTTTGCAAGTCATGTATTGATGTATTATTCCACAACTGATGTAATAAAAGTTCGTAACGTGCAATATTTTTTATATTTAGATTTTAGATTAAACGAGGAACTAAAGAATTTTATTACGTATACCTGATAGTCCAAGAACATAGGCCTTCAAATAGGAAGTTTTGGTAAAAACTTCAATATTTAATATGTTACTTTGAAAGATCTAAAAACGAAGTGTGAAAGATTTTTTTATATTCACCACTGAGAAGGGGTGAAATAAATAAAATTATTTTTTAGAAGTTTCAAAGAAACGGTAAGAACTAGAAAAAAAAGTTCAAATAAAAGTTGTAGAGCGTTCAGTTTTACAAAAATGTTCTCTATACTTTTTTTGCTCAAATCAAAATTAACCGAGATAGGGGTGGCTAGAAGATAGGGGACAACTTTTGTTTGAAACATTTTTTACAGTCCTTACCGTTTCTCTGAAATTTGGAAATAAACACTTTATTTATATTTTTCATCCCTTCTTGGGGTGAATTTAAAAAAAATCTTAATTGAAATTTATAATTTTCCAAACAAATTCAATAAAAATGTTAAATACAGGGTGCTACAAAGGTACGAGCATTGGTATCTTGGAAACCGTAATAGATACGAAGATGGTTAAATTGGGGCAAAAATGCCATCAAATTTTTTTTTAAACATTTCAAGGATTGCTGAGTTTTTTGGAAAAAACGGATTTTTTTGAAAAACAATTTTATTTCTTCCTGTCGTTACTTTTTAGATAATTAAAAAACTAATTGCACATTCTCATAGCCACTTTATTACGGCTATCTGATAGTATTTTTAGATTTTCAGATTAGCTGAAAATTTGTGAGATACAGAGGCCAACTTAATTTTTTTAAATACGGACCTGCATTTTTTATTTCAAGTTTTGAAAGAACTCGGTCTCCTGAGCAAAATGATATGCCACACTTGATACTTTTCTTTTGTTTTGGGTACCTTAACAACAACAAAACTATATAATTTTTATTTAAAATAATTTTAAGTCCAACTCTGGTGTTTTAAATTATTTAATCTGATTATATTCATCGCAATAATATTGATCAGCGATCAGCGCTAATTAAAATTGAATAAGGAAAATCGAGAAAATTGAAAGATTCAAATAAATAATATCCTGGTCAGCAATTTAAAGATATTATTTTTACTTTTCTCAATTTTTCAATGAATTTGAAATCTCAGTGTACGATCTAATAATATGCATAATATTAATCGTAGTTATTATAAATAAATCAACTTCTACAAACTAGTTTCTAATGCTCTACATGTTCGAAAGGGTTACAACCCTCCCTAACGCACAAATTTATTTTTCGTTCAATCTTATTTAAAGCTCTTTAAACATATCTTCTTCTTAGGGAGGACATGAACCTCCTGGCATATTATACTGTTCTACCATTTCCAATCCATCATATTTATATTATTTATTTTATATCATTTTTTATTATTTTATTGCATTTGATTTTTCGTATTTAATGTTTTACCCCATGATAGCCCTAATAAAGTGGCTATGAGAATGTGCAATTAGTTTTTAATTTTCTAAAAAGTAACGACAGGAAAATAAATGATTCGGTTATTTTGGACTTATTTGAAAAATGGTAAAGAGAAAAAATGTTTCTTTTGACTTTAGGGGTAGTAGCCTTAAAATACTTTCAATTATTTCTGGGACACTCTGTATAAGAAATCCAAAATTCACATTTAATAAAAGCACTTTCAATACTCAAAAACTATATCTATTGAGTGACTTCTGGTCTTTTTCTCAATAACTTTAAATTAGTAAGTAATTATTAATACCTTAAACTGCTATAATCAAATATATTGTTTTTTCCACATATCTATTAATACAACATTTTTTCAAAACACCAAAAATATTTAATAACAAAATGAGTTGCAAGATTACTCTGGCCAATAGGAAACAATTTCACAATTTTTCAACGGTAGCACGATACCAATAATTTTGTTTATACAAAATTTAATTAATAGAGATTAGAAGACTATATAAAGGAATATGCTAAATCATTCATTAACATTATAGTTTTCATATTTTCAGTGACAAAAGTGCTTACATATCGAAGTAAGTTTATACAATTATTTTAGTATATTTTTTTTCAAATATTTTTTTTTATATCTTTAGAATAATTACAAAATGGCAGAAAATATGATAACTACAAGATCTCTGGGAGTAGCTGTTGAAGGAGTAAAAGACCAATATGCCGATGGTAAAGCTGCGAAGGTTTGGGAGGTTTTCATAGGCGATAAAAATTCAAGAACTGAAAATTACAAGAACTTTCTGGTTGGGTTGTTGAGAGAAAAACGTTGCAAGAGGATTTTGGATGTAGCTTGCGGGACTGGGTAATTTTTTATTTAAATTTTATATATGTAAAGAGTTACAAAACCTTAAGGGAATACAAAGGCTCGAATAATTCAACGAAAATAGTGAAAAAATCGTAAACAAACATAACTATTCCGATGAAGTTTCGACAATATTAATATTGTAAAAATGTATTAATGTTAAATATTTGTATAGAATAATAATTGTAACTGAACCTAAATAATAAATCTTAACATTTTTAAAGCTTACCTCAAATATTCACTTCGTTCACTTGAAAAGTTATGCAATTTGATTTTGATGTTAATATTATTCTTGAAAGTACTTTAAGTTTATGTGATATTGCCATTTAAAACTTCTTTTAACTGTTCTTATGCTAGATTATGTTCAAAGTAGGCCAAAATTTGCTAAAATTTTAAAAATACTAACATTTAAATCAAAGCTTCCTGCCGAAATTACCGTCACAAACTGACAAACTTCTCAAAAGTTATTTTTGTTGTCAAAAAATTGTACTAAAATAGTAAATTTCTGTACAATTTCTTGCTACGTTTACATATTACACCGTCGGATGGCGCGTCGGTCGATTTTCAAAAAATAAATTAATGTGCGCGTTCAGGGAGCACAGCGGCTGACCGACCGCTGAGTATTTTACTCAGATTGGCAGATTGTTTTTGCGTGTAAAAAGAGACCGTTTAGGGAAACCGTTTACTCAGCCACTCAGCCGCTGACCGTCCCTGAACGCGCTCAATATCTTTAAATTTTTAATCTAAAAATTGTCAATATTAAATAAATGAACCCTGATGTGATGGCTTCAAATATTCTATTAACTTAAGTTCTAAATGGTTTACTATATTTTCCTTCAAATTTAAATGTTAAATATTTCCAGAATCGATTCCATAATGCTTCTAGAAGAAGGATTTGAAGTGGTTTCCGTCGATGCTTCAGATAAAATGCTGAAATACGCTTTAAAAGCTAGATGGAATAGACGCAAAGAACCTGCTTTTGATAAATGGAGTAAGAAAAGAGAAATCAATTTTAGAAATTCTGTATAAAACCGTTTTTTTTTATTAGTAATTGAAGAAGCCAATTGGTTGACGTTGTTTGATGATATTGAAGACTTAGTAGGCGATGGATTTGACGCTGTGATATGCTTGGGAAATTCGTTTGCTCACTTGTTGGATAGTTATGGCGATCAACGTGAACAAAGGTATGTAAAAAATATAAAAGTTGACAACATTGTAATAAAATTATTCATATTATAGCTGTAAAGATATGAAAATATCTGTTTTCACATTTTTCTTATCATTTTCAGTAAAGCACTGCGCAATTTTGAAAAATGCGTCAAACCTGGTGGTTTTTTACTAATTGACCACAGAAACTACGACAGTATTATAGACACGGGTGAAACAGCATCCAAATGCATTTATTACAACGTAAGTTTTATTTTCATTTAATTTTTGTTTGTGTTTTGTAAAATATAATTGTTTACAGCCAAAACACACTACTGATATAAGAACGTCAGTATTATACGTTAGTGGAAAACCGGCTTTGGTGACCTTGGATTACTTGATTGACCTGTCTTCGGAAAATGAGAAATCTGATATCATCTATCCAGATGAGAGTATAAGGTACTTAAAGATATTTTTTACATACGTATCAATATTTAAAAATATCGATACTCATTGTTCTATCTAACAAATATTTTTTAGATTGCCAATCTTTTTAATTGAAAGTATTTCATAAATTTGTCCTCTTTAAAACTAATTGTAGTGACAATCCTTATATTGAAATACAATATACCGGGCGCGTCTCGAAAGTGGTTCACCCTTATAACTTTTTTTATTTTTTCATAACGTTCATAACGACAATTTGACTTGAAATACCAAGTGTGTGGTATCAAACTATTCGTAAAAAAATGCTTTTTCCAAATCTGCTAATAGTGCTAATGAGCCATCTGGTCCAACGATATGGGCATCTTTTAACCGGCCAGGACAAGACACTATATATAAAAACATTACTATGACTATCAAATCTAATTTTTCAAGGCTTTCCCTTGATTAAAAATGAGTGTTTTTATTAATTTTTAACACAGCCATGGCACTCCAGATTGAATTTTAAAATACAATTTGTTTATGAGTGAATATGTCAAAAGATGGCATATGATATGTCATTCGATTCAGAAAGTCATTTTCTATCGAATAAAGTAAAAAAATACGGAGGGTGCCATTTAAAAATCAAAAGTTGTAGTCATTTCCGGTGAAACAGGAAGTGACCGAAAAGAATTGAAAATGTCAGTCAATCCTAATTTATGTCATATACTAACATACCAAATCTCGTTTTTTTATCTGAAAAAATAAAAAAGTTATAGGGGTGAGCCACTTTTGAGACGCACCCGGTATATACAGGGTGAATGAAAAGTAATAACTGTTGTATTTTTTTCTCATCTCTAATTCAAATGTGGAAGTCTTTATAATTTATATCAAATATGAAAGCAGTTTTTAATTAGTATTTGTTTTATTAAGTAATTTGTTCTTATTGTATTTTTATTTTCAGTGAATTCAGATTGTCCTACTACCCCCACAGACTGAAGGTATTCAGGCAAATGTTGGAAAAAGCGTTTGGTGAAAATTCTTCGTATCGAATATACGGCGATTTTAAAACTCTAGATCAAATAGAATCTCCAAATTTCTACATTCACGTCACTGAAAAATCCAGTACTATATTTTAGACAGAAATCTATTTATTATTAGTTAGTTTTCTATCTGAATTCTAGCCCGTAAGATTTTTATTTTAATTTATTTCGGAATAAGTAATAGTTAAGAAAGTTTTTATAATATATTAAATTCTATAAAATTTTTGAAAAAGTTTTTTATTTACAAAAATCGTTATATTATAAAATACCACAATATAGTGATTCAAATTCTTGGAAATATTTGATACAATTTTTTTCAAGCGTTGCGTTTAATATGATGCGGATGTATCATGGAGAAATATTTCGTTTTTTTTTATCAATTCTTGATCAAATTCGTGCAAGTTGCTATGTAAATATAGTTAGCTTTGTCGGCAAAATGTCTTCCTTGTTTTTAAAGATCCCGAACATCTTGTTCTTACAGTAAATGCATTTTAAAGAGAAGAATACTATTTAGTTTCTCTTCATTTTTTCTGAATTTTTTTGAATAATTTTATATTAGTTAGTCGTGTAGTAAACCAATATGTTCAAAAATATAAAAAGAATCATATTAGGTCCAAAATAAAATAAAAATATCGTTATATACAATATGCAATAAAGTGTCTATCGATCTTTATTCTTGCAAACGTACTGGTACTCTTGTTGGCAAATATCCCGGAACCGCCGTTAGATGGCCTATATAAAAGCGTTTTCCATCGGATATGCTTAGCCCGTAGTAAAATTCAACGCTAATCTTGTTCCGGCCGGGCAAAAGGCGGTAAAAACACGATAGGGATCGCTTTCGGTACTTGGCCGCTATAGGTGACCGCTGCGGCTTGACCTCCCTCCGTCTAGGTACTCTATCTGGATGGGCAGACTCGAAAGAATCCGTTCAAATCGCACCGACCATCGTCTTCTTAATCGGCACGACTAGGGCTGGGCGATTGGGATCGATACTCTATAGTATCGATATTTGTGAGATTGATAATCGATATTATTTATACGATAGGTACAGGGTGTCCCATTTTCGTGTGTTTTACAGGGTTTCTCCTTTGTGAGTAGAGATGAAAAGGTGCGGTTTTAACATCATTTTCTTACTTTTTCATGAAACTAAAATAATTGAAAACATATTTTGTTTTATATTCAAAAATTGATGTATATCGGGGGCGCACCCTTATAACTTTTTTATTTTTATACATAAAAAACGAGATTGGGTAAAAATGATTTTTTGCTTAAATTTTGAGAACCACTGGAACTTTACTGGGTTTCCTTTCTTGTAAATTTGATCTAATACCTATGTTGCCATGTTATCATAGTAGAAGGAAAAGAGTAGTTGCACTCTCCCAAATATTTTCTGCCAGTTTTTACAATCTGTCGAATATCGGCAGATTGCAGAGAGTTTCAGTTGAGTTCCGTCCGTCGACCTGCGAGGTTCGAACGTTGCGTCCCAGCACAGAGACGGATTGACAAAAAATGAGTGCCTTACTATGTGCTGCTACTGGTTGTAGTAATAATTCAAAAAATTTTGCTTTGAGTTTTTTTTGAGAGTCATTTGTGATGATTGATTACTACTTAATAATTTTATATTATTTTCAGTTAAACTTCAATTTTTTAACAATTTTACTTTTGACAACCATCCCTTGTTTGCTGTTTAACGAAGTTCACCATCAATGAACAAAAATTTGCTAGTACCGAAAGTACCGAAAAAACTGGAAATCCCAGTTCCTTAGAGGCATGGTACCGAAATTACCGGTTCCGAAAAACAGCTCCGGTTCCGGAAATATGTACCATAACCGTGAATCGCCCTATACAGGGTGAGTTTTAAATAAGTGCAAATATTTTTAGTGGTAGTATATTTTGGCCAGAAATATGAGGATTTTTCTGCGCAATTTTCTTTTTTGAAAAAAATCTGGAATTTTTTTTAGGTTTTTGTTAAAAAACATATTTTTTTGATAATATGGTTACCCTATACTAGGGTTCAGAACCGGAAATTCCCGGTTCTTTTGAGAGATCAAAGAACCGGAACTCGAAATTATTAATTCCCGGTTCTTTCGGTACCTTCGGGACTTGGTAACAATAACTAAAAAATTATTCTTTTATTACGTGAGAAAATAGTGATGCTATTTCTTTTTTTTTTTCTTGCTTCTTTTCTCTTTTGAAATTTCTGTAATGTTTATTAGCAATTATTGAAGTTTAAATATGTTATTTTGTTATTTAGTACAATGTGTTGTTCAATGTATTAGTTATCCAATGAAAATCACCTAACCAATATACTATTACAAAACAAATACATTAATGTCATTATATATTTTTTCCGCATTTCTTCCCATCAGAAGATTTTCAGATATAGAAGAATTGTTACTTACACGAAATGTGCAAATATTCTGTTTTCAAAGCAAATTTTTACTCGATGATCATTTTTTTTATTTTATTTTATTGTGAACTCATATTTTCCTAAATACATCTCTGTGAAACTATGGCGAGTGCCACGACTATACTTTGCCTAGTTATAGACCACGACTATACAACTACGTCAGTGGTAACATGACGCGAGAACAAGGTCATATAAAGTGACAGAAAAAGAACAAAGGATTTGACAAGGAGTAAAGCTACTAGTTTCCTTATACTATGATATTATCAATAAATTATCGATATTTTTTGGCCCATCCCTAATACTCTGATCGAGTATGTACCGTCTTTTTCTCATACCATACCATACACACTTAAATTGGCTAACTAGGACGGTGGCGGCGGCGGTCGTACCGTTTGTGTACTTTTCTCACGTAAATCAATTTACGCACCGCGAGAGCATCTATTTTCGGAAAATCGAATACGGGCAGCGGTTGTTCTCCTTCGCCCCAGATCGCCTTGGCCAATAGAGGCGATTTAATTGGTCAAGTCGATTATCTAATTACCAGTACAGAGAAGACAATAATTGCCAACAAATGAGAATAGAATTATTTGAAGAAGATAGAGAATTTTCATGTATTTTAAGAGTCCATTTGACTAGTCCGAAAAAGTAACAAAATAAGCGTTCGACATTTTTAACGTTTTACGTAAAACTGGCTAGGTATTTTTACACAAATGAGGAAAGAAATTAAAAATAAAGGATTATACTATATCCGTATTGTAGCACATTTTTAGACAACTTCTTTATTTTAAAGATTTTGATGGTCAAACATCAACGAAATATTCCTTATGTTTGGACTAAATGTTCTCGAAAATAAAGACATAATTTAAAATTCCGTTACAATACCGAAATAGATTGAAGTTTTGTGATTACACTAATATATAATTTATATGGTTTTGTAACAAATTGCTGGCTATTTTATGGCAAATGCTGAAGCTCTGCAAACCCTAATCAAGCCTTAATCAAAGCACGTGTGTTTGGAATTTTGTGTGGCTTAACAAGACAGGGTCGGGCTACGCCTTAGGCAGATTTCTGAAATGTAGTATATATTTCTTTCGGCCACATACCCGCTTTACCCGACCCCTGAGAGCAACCCGAAAGCACAGCGTAATAGACTCTTAAAAATTTTATACTAGGGCTGGCATTTTTGGTCTTGGGTGCCGATTTTCGTGTGTACGAAGAGTACGGTCAACACGCTTAGCAAAATAAGATGTACTGAATAAAGACAGAAGGCAAGTATTTTCCCAAGCACATGGAATCTAAAGTCAGATTAAGTGGTTATGTAAAATAGATACTTAATTATAATTATTAAATAGATACTTCGTATTTTTGCTCTCTCCGACTTACTAGATTGCCATAGCGATTCACTCCTATACATGTAAACGCCGACCCAAAGGTTTCGCTTGCCAGCAGGGCAAAATATCGATATTGACAAACATTCCTAATAAAATAATTCAGTGGTAAAAACTTGCGACACTGATTCTTTTTTTGTAGATTTTTGGTTTGGCCCATTTTTTATCGATTTTTTGAAATATCAATATTTTAAAACATCTATAGTAAAAACAATGGGGTTAAAACTGAATAAAGACAGAAGGCAAGTATTTTCCCAAGCACATGGAATCTAAGGTCAGATTAAGTGGTTATGTAATAGATACTTCGTATTTTTGCTCTCTCCGACTTACTAGATTGCCATAGCGATTCACTCCTATACATGTAAACGCCGACCCAAAGGTTTCGCTTGCCAGCAGGGTATATTGTGTTATAGAGGACCGATTTTGATGATCTTTTAAACAATTTGTAGCTAAATTATTTGAGTTTTTAGCATCTCTCTCTAAATTAAAAATGAAAGTTGCCATCTATCAGTTATACGAAGGAAAACAAAATGTTGAAATTTTGGTGAAAGTTTGAAATATCCTGTGGAGTACGTTAACAAAGCAAGGAATGTAGAAATAATTTTATCATCTAGGTGTATCTTTTCTGGATAGTTTGTTTTTTGATTCATCTCAATAGCTTTAATTTTTTTGGAGATATTCGCTTTTGAAGAAGACACTAACATTTTTTAGTATTTTTTATATTGAAACCATGCCTTTGCTCTTGGTCCTAGTCACCAGACCTATAAAATAGTATTTGTGATTTATGTAATGTTACTGTCTTTGAAAAATCATATTATTATTGTCTATTGGGCAGTTATTCTAGCTGATCTCTACCATAATCAATTAACGTAACAATAGCCGATACTTCAGAACTTAAAACCATTTTTACTAGAGTAAACGTCAATAAACAATAATAATATGACTTTTCAATGACAGTGACATTACAAAAAAAAGATAATCTTATAAGTCTTATAAGTGTTTTGATGAGAACCTAAAATCAATGCTAAAACCGCTGTAAGTCGTTACTGTCATATTTAGCGAACATCTCCAATAAAAATAAAGCTAATGAGATGAATCGAAAAACAAACTATCGAGAAAAGACGTACCTAGATAAGATAAAATTATTTTTAAATTCATTGCTTTGTTAACATATTTCACAGGGTGTTTCAAACTTTCACCAAAATATCAACATTTTGTTCTCCCTCGTATAATTGACAGACGGAAATTTTCGTTTTTAATCATTTTTTAATTTAGAACGGGATACTAAAAAGTCAAATAATTTAGTAGCTTTTAACACGCACTTTTCTATATTGCAAAAGATGCAAGTGAGTTTAGTTGCAAGTTAATTTTATGTTTCTTTATCTATAGTTGTATATCAATTTTTAAGTCATATTTAAATTTTGCGC